GATTGTTGAATGAATTCAGATTAGTCTTATAAGTTGCAATAACAATTAATTAATAAACTAAATAGATTTTTTGAAAAAAAAAACTAAAGATATAAGAGAGAGAGAGAGAGAGAGAGAGAGAGACCTGGGTTTGGGTTTGGATCGGGAAGAAGAGGAAGCAAGAGGAAGATGAGCGAATTTGCTACTACGAAGAGCCCTTCTTTCTTCATCCGTAAGTCCCTCCATGCTTCTCTCTCTCTCTCTCTCTCTCTCTCTTCACCATTGCCTCTGTTACGGCGCATCTACAAGAAGTTTATGAAACAGTTCTTCCTAACATGACGACATCGTATTAACCTGCCTGCTCTAGGGGTGAGCAGCGGATATATCGATCCGCCAAAACCGACCGAACTGAACTGATCCGGAGCATTTTGGATGCGTGATGACGAGCTGATGGTTACGGATTGATTTTCTCCAATCCGCCAATTTGGCGGACAGATGGCGGATTTGAGGTTCCTTTGGCCGCAACCAAACCGCCAAACCGCGAGCACTCTTAGTAATTTATAAGACTTTATGTTTTCAATTTTTTTAAATATTTTGTTTGTGTTTTCAATTGAAAAAGAGTTTAAATATTCTATTGAAAAAAAGTTTTCAACTTGAATATATTTTTTGAATTAAAAAAAATAAACGTATTATTTATCTATATTTTTTGGTTTTTAAATCTAACTCTAAAAGTAATAAATAGAAAATATGATATATGCTGGTTGGTTTTTGTTTTCAAAAACATATATAAATATAACAATATAGAGACATACAATCTCTACTACTTCTCTGTTCATGGTTTTGGTGGTTTGAATTATTTTTATATTTTAAGAACCACATATTGTAATACTTTATGTAGATGAGGCATGTTGTGATTGTAATATGTAAATGAGGCATGCAATGATTGTGATATTCTAAAATTTCAAACTTTCTTTCTTTGAATGAGGCATATAGTAATTGTAATACTTTTTTAAGTCATTGACTGTAATACTTTTTTTTTTTTTTTTTGAGGAAGTGCACAAGTTGAACTATGTTAAAAATTTATAAAATTTTAAACCGCCAAACCGAATTGCATCCATCCGCCAAACCACCAATCTGCTCAATCCACATCCACCGGATTGGCGGATGGATGCGGATTGATTTTCTCCAATCCGCCAATTTGGCGGACGGATGGCGGATTGGAGGTTCCATGGCCGCAACCGACCCGCCCCCACCCCTAGCCTGCTCTGAGAACAGGCTATTAGCTAAAATATGAGATTAAAAAGGAGTTAATTATCTAAAAGTTTTATTTATAAATGTTATGACAGCTCAGGTCTTATCTAAGATTTTTTGAAATAATAAGTCCTATTCAGTAAACTGATAATATTATTAGTTTTTTCTAATTTTTAAAACTAAGAATATTATCAATTTTATATAATAATATTCCACATAATTGTTTTACTAACTAATGAAAAAAATAAAGCATGAGATTAAATATTTTTGCTTGTCTACTAATTAGTTTGATTCAACTATCTAATAAAATCGAAAACATAGTTTTTTTCAGTTTTAAAACTGAGAACATTATCAATTTTCTCTTTTTTTTCTTTTTTTCTTTTTTTTTTTTCCAGTTTTGCACATCAATGTTTTATCATCATGCTCCTTTATAGACATAAAATTTGCAGTTTTGCACAAAAAAATAATTTAGATTTTTCAATTTTTCAAAAAAAAAAAGTTTTTGTTTTCAGAAAACACTTTTCAGAAAATTCTATTTTTTTATTTTCTGTATTTTTTTGTTTTCAATGAATTCTTTTAATATTTTAAATAATTTTTTTAATTTTTAGACACCTAATATAAATACACTTAAAAAGTATAATATTTGTGGAAATTTTTTTTAAAAAATTCACTAAATACCAAAAATACAAAAAATAAATAAAATGAAAATTCATTACATTTTCATATTTTTGTATACTTATTAATTTTTAAAAATATTTTTTCACAAGTATTTTACTATTTAGATATACCTAAGTAAAGTGCATCTAGAAGAATAAAAGAATTACTTAAATTTTTAAAAATATTCATTAGAAACAAAAAAAAAACACACACACACACACACACACAAATCAAAAAACTAAATTTTTTCAAAAAACTGAAACCAAACACACTCTTAGTTTTTTTTTTTTTTTTGCATATAATTTTTTTTTAGTTTTTTTCAATTTTAAAGTTGATGTTTCAAAATTTTGAAAATTAAAATAAATATCAAATCATCATGTTCTTTGATAAATAATCATAAATGATGAACAATTATTGTTTGAATGGCAATTCTAACTATTAAAAGTTTAATGGAACTTGAAGGTCCAAAAAATCTTAATTATGACTTAATGAAGTATAAGTTCATAAATTAAGATTTGTGTGTAAATGCCCCTAAAAAAATTAGTATATTTGGAATGACTTTTTAAATTAATATTAAAAAAAAGTGTAAAAAGTAAAGAGAAAATCGAATTTTTGACTTTTTTATATAATTTATTAACTTTTAATTTTTAGCTAGGGTTCGTTTTGACTTTTTTATATAATTTATTAACTTTTAATTTTTAGCTAGGGTTCGTTTGTAAAGAACTATTTTAGCCTGACTCTTTGACTTTTTGCCTAATTTAGCTAGGCCAAATTAGCTACATTTGGAAGAATTTTTAAACTTTTTTTTTTATATAGAAAAAAAAAAAGTGAAATGATTATAGTTTGAATGTAACATTTTACTTTATTGACTTATTTAGTCTATTTTGTCTTTTCGTACTTTTTTAGTCCCAACTAAAAGCCAATCCATTTGCCAAATAGGAGTTAAAATTTAAAGTTGCCAAATAAGGATAAATTTTAAAGTTGCCAAATTTTAAATTTAGTTAAAATTTTGATAGAACTTAGATCTAATTTATTCATCAAATTTTTAATAATTATTTTTACTTAAATTTGAAAAAATTATTAACAGATGATGGATTGAAAATTAATTTTTTTTTCATTGAATTTGTTAAATATGGTTTTTAGATGGGTTAGGTATTTTTAAAAATATTTGATGAAAATTTTGATTTACACACTTGGAAAAGTGAGCTATATATCAAATCGTGCTTTTAATTTAAATTGTTGAATAAATTTGATGAAATATATATATATATATATATAAAGAATTGGAGATGTTGCAAGAATAAAATAAAATAATTATCTTATTACATTCTCACATTTAATTTATTAAAAAATTATTAAATAAAATAATCATTATAGTCCAATTTTGTCAACTGACAACGAATTCCACATGGCATTGAAACTTTCCCGTTGAATTTTAATTTTGCCTCATAAAGTATTACATTTCCCCACAATTATGTCTTCTGGTTAGCAATCAATTAAACCATATTGACACAATTTGAATATTTTAATTATCAAATTGTAGAAAAAAAATTAAAGTTTAAAATGGAATTTAATCAATACTTTAGATAATGCAAATGTAATTTAACAAACTCTTGGAACTCGATTCCTTAAAATAAAAAAAATAAAAAAATAAGTAAATCTCATATATAAAATTTAAAACTCATCTAGTTCAAAAATAAAATACTTGTACTAATTAATCGTACATATTTTTAATTGTTACTCAAAAATTCTATTTTAAAAATAATTAAAATTTAAAAATTGCTATATTTCACCGCCGTCGGACTTCCGTCATACGATCACTGAAAACTCACCAAAATGTTCAATATCACCCGAAAGTTGCCAGAGTATTGCCAAAGTGTTCCGAATGTTATTGAAAGTCGCCAGGATGTCGAAAACATTCCTTGAATGTCAAGGACATCGTCGGAGACTCACAAAATGTCCAAAATATTGTCCAAAAAAAAAAAAAGAAATAGAAAAATTATAGTGAAAAAATATAACAAAATGTACTAAACATTGATAAACTGAAAAAAAAAAAAAAAAAAAAAAAAAACTTAACAACAAAAAATAGCAATAATGAAAAAAAACACACACACACATTTAGGGTTTAAACAAATAATCTCCAATATTAATCAAACTGAAAAATAAATTTTGAAATTATAAAATTATTTTATTATTTCAAAGAATGATTCTATTAAGTTTAACCTTATTAATCAAACTAAATTCTAAAACATATTACGAAATTGTAAAATTTTACAATTTTAAACCATGATTCATGTCAGCATCAAAAAAATTAAAACTGTAAAATTTTACAATTTTCATTGCTTATAATTAAAGCTCAAAAACAACTTGTTTAGAATTTGAATATTTTCCCAATTAAAACATGAAAAAAGGACGGTGTAATCTAAGGAGAGAAACAGATATAAAGAGGATTGTACTCCGACAATTATTTTTGGTTTAGATATAACCAGATCTGATGTAGATGTACTCACATCTAATGTAAATCTAAGGAAATCTACATCAGAATTGAGTTGATCTATTCATCTCCTTTGCCGTCGGTGAGGATGAAGCAAGAAGTCAGTTGTCAATGGTTACCAGTGAATCCCAATTAATGGTAATCATTGGTCGTCAGTGACTATATATCAAAAAGAAAAAGAGAAGATAGACGTGCTTGCCTTTCTCCGAAAATCAAAAAGAGAAAGAGACATAGAAAAACGAAGGCACAGAGAAAGAGAAAAGAAAAATGGGTACAAAATTTTTGAGTATAAACAGAAAGTTGTGGAACTAAATAGAGCACACTTCTTTCAAAAAGGAATTGTACGTCATATGCCAAAAAAAAAAAAAAGGTAAAAAAAAAAAAAAAAAAGAGTCCCCCCCCCCCCAAAAAAAAAAGAAAAAGAAAAAGAAAGCCCAGCCCTATTGTGCTTCCCTTTCACACTACCAATTAACACAAAATGCCATGAAAGTGGCATAGCAAAATGTACTCAAGAAGCCCACCTGCTGCTATCGACAAAAAGAGTAAAAAAAATCACAGCCTGAAGATTAACGGCCGCAACACCAATCACAGGTCCATGAAATAAGCACATGAACAATTCTAACCATCTAATATCCATCTCTGGTTTATTTTTATTTCACTCTTTTCTACCAATGACAGCATAGAAATGTGAACTGGTACTTGGTTCCATGCTGTTCACAAAAATGGCAACTATAGAAGCAGCAAACAATTTAGTTGAGATAACAATTTGGGAGATGAATAGAGTAGGGGGCAAAGCCCAATCCTTGCAATTTACAGGCCTCTCTATCTTTCGCCTAATATGGTAAAAGACCAGGCAAATATGCAGGAGGCTAATCCAATGGTAATTTGGGAAAGAGGAAAAAAAAATGGAAATAAATCATTGAGGGTGAGGAAGCTTTCCACAAAGGTACAGCAGTGATAGTTATAGGAAAACACAATTTGGGTGCAAAGCCACCGTTACTAGCCCCTAAAGCTGTCAGTCTGTTCACTAACCGAGCAAGAATCTGAAGATGTCGCCGACTGTTATAATGCCTTCTACACGTTTGCTGCCAGCCTCCACAACAATAAGCCGTCTAACCCCTGTGAAGAAATAATGAAAAATGTCGTGAATACTGAGATATATGAAATATTTCCTTTGGTATGATCTTAAAAGCCAAGTTATTAGCTAAAAAACTCATTTTGATAAACAAAGCCGACTTTAGCCACTAATTGGCTTATTTCCTGCCCAAAAGCCCAATGAACAAGTCAGCCCAGCCAATTTTGATGTTTTCCTATTTTGGCCTTATCCCATCTTCCTTATTCCATCATTGGAATTCAATATCTTGGTCAAATTGGTCATTTTGTATTAAAAAAAAAGCCAAAATGCTAGCAAGGTTACCTAATATACTTATGTTAAAAAACTATTAGAAAAGCCAAAAAGCTACAAGTGTGCCAATCAAACTACTTTTTTTAGCATTGGCTTTTTTGTAGGTTTATTTTAATCAATAAGCTAGTTTTTTAGCTAACTACCAAAGAAAGTGGCATAACTCGGAGTATGTTGTTAAACCTAAAAAGACATGCACAAGAAAACCAAATAATAGATATTTGATATTGCACTTATCATTTAGTCATCCATGGCTACAACAGTTAAACTACAAGTAAAGATAGCGTTTGGCTTAGTTTTAGAATTATGATTTAAAAATGGAATTATATTTTGAGTTTGTGATTCGTTAAATCATGATTTAAAAAGAGAAAATCTGTTTGCTTATGAGTTTTGAAAAGTGTTTCAAATTTTTGAAATGAGTTTTGAAATAAGAAAAGTTGTTTGGTTATAAATTTTGAAAAGAGTTTTCAAAACTTAATTAAAAAACTTATAACTCGCAACCAAACATACAACTCAAAACTCTATTGAAAATTCTATTCAAAACTCATAAACAAACTCTTTTTAAAATTTAATTCAAGAAAATAATTATTCTATTTTTTATTTAAAAAATCCAAAAAATTCTGAATTTTTTTTTTTATTTAAAATATTGAAAAACATATATTATTTTTTGGTAAATATTTAGCTAGTGCTTTAAAATTACTTTTGATTGGAAATTTTGTTTTAATTGTTTTGTTTAAAAATATTTTTATTTATTCTTATTTTTTAAAGATTACTGTGACAAATTAATTTTTATTTAAAATTTTTTTTTTGTTAGTTTTAAATAAATGGCCAACTAATTTGTCATTTTGGTTTTAAAAAATAATTTCTATATTTAAAAAATATCAAAAACAAATATATATATATATATATATATATTTTAAATAACATGTGGCAATTGCAAAAAGAAGAAAAGAAAAAAGAAAGCACTGTTTCAATCAACCGGCCGGACGTTCGGGAGAATGTCCGAGCGAACGACTTGGTAGACCCAAAAATTCAAAACTGTCCCGGCAGACGACCGGGTAGACCCAATTTCAAAATTCAAAATTCAAAATTCAAATTCAAAAACTCTACTTGCCAAACATGTTCTGAAAAGAATTTTCAAACGTAGGTGTAGAATCAATTTTTGAAAACTATATCCAAACACAACACTAAAATAGGAGGGTGGAATTATGATTCCACCCCTAAACCAAACGCAGCCAAAGTTTTTCTAGTTCAATTTAACAAACATAGCAGCAATCCCCTAATCCAAGGACAATTCACAGAAAACCGTAAACACTTAACACACTCAATGAAACCAACTGGCTTCTCAAAATCCAAGTAGAACAGAATTCCAACCCCAATACCAGGTTGATTATTCACACTAACCCGTCAAATTAATTACTGTCAAACACATCAATTTTCCCAAAAGGAACACATAAGAATCTCATTTATTGATAGATGGGGTGGGCATGAGTAACTCCTAATCATATTTTTAATTTTATCAAAAACCCAATAGCTTTTACCATGCATTCATATACTCCAGAGTTTAGTCGCTCACAAAATTAGCACATTTCACATAGCATAAAGAAGAGAGAATGAAAATAACCTGGATTTGCCAATCGCTCTATCACTTTATGCAGTGGATCAGATCGTAAACACATTTGACATCTTTGACTGCTAGATCCATATGGAGAATATGGCTCTTGTCCCAGCTGCAATGCCTGGATATTTTCCAAAACAAAAACAAAGAGAAAATGAAAAGATTTTCAGCATTTCTTGCCAAATTTGTACTAACCCAAACTCTTTCAAAATCAATTCATGTAGTTTTTGCATGTACTCAAAAAAGTAGTTGATATCATAACACAATTCCTTAAACAAAGCCTATGATACATCATCACTTTTTTTTTTTTAGGTAAGTAATCAAGATACTTGACTTGGAAAGCACATAACCTCAACAATAACAAATTGAAGCACTTACCTGATTAATAGTCATCTCTTCAAGATTAATATGAGCATAAATTTTGTCCTTTGCCAAAGCAGTAATATCACTGTCGAGAAGAAAACAGACACATCACTCTTGATGGTGGAATTGTAATTGAAATTTGATTCATAATGCAGAGTCCTATATTAGAATCAGAACCGACCTTCGAGAATATACATTTAATAATGAGTCATTGTCATCAACAATGGGTATTGAACTAACTTGAGCTGCAAAGACAAAAGGCACAATAACATGAGGATGAAGGGACAAGGGTGAAATATAAGTAAAGCATTCTCACTAATTGCAGCTACTACTGCTTATCTTATCACCCAATCCAATCCCCATAATCCCTTTTGTCCATAATTTTGTCAAACCAAAATTATATGAACAAAAATTTAAGCACAAAAGATTAAAACTAACACATCATTCCATTCCCAACCAAAGTTATAGTGAAAGTAAAATAGCCAATAAAATATATATATATATATATATAAACCAATTGCTTGAATTTTTTTGTAGTTTAAATTACCCAAATTACTTGAAGAGTAGGACAAACATACATTATCTATATCATAAAAAACTAGTTAAATTTGACACAGATCACAATGCAATTACAAACTCTATATTTAAATTTGAACAAAGCTATGTATTAACAAAAAACATGGTTTCAGAATCACCAATGCATCCCTAGGCATTCCCATAGCAAGGGACTAGTCACAATAACATCCAAATTTATTTGTCCATTAAAAATCACCAATCCGAAGTTCATACCTCAAGTAGGAGTATGGGACCTCAAACAGTTTAACCCCAACAAACAGACAAACAAACCATGAAGAAACACTTCTCTTACGCACATTAAGATCTGCTGATCAAATGAAGCACAACCCTTCAACTTACCAAGCAAAACTAATTATGAGAAGTTGACAGAAATACTTGGGGCTCAAGATCAGCAAGTTTACCCCTCCCAGAAATAATAACCTGATATTCTCTTACCTTGAACTAACAAACTCAATGCTAAACCAAGAGAAGAACTTGGTCTCAACATTGCCAATGGCCGTCGATTTGTTTCCCCAATTCCCAGAACCCAGGTACCAAAAGGAATTGCACAGATTGGTAGTTGGAGCATCGGTAATGTCCCAGAAGAATGTTTAAAGTACCTGCAAATACCTGAAAATTAGCAAGACATTGGTTAGTAAGAAAACACCAATTCTTGTTCAGGAAACTAAATAAAACCTTACATTTTAGTATTCCAGAAAGTGAGGCAAGGTGTAATAGCTGCGGAATCGAGGTATCGCCTGAAGATGAATGGATAACAGGAACTGTTGCCACATTATTTTGCAAAATCTTGAGAGCAACATCTTTCAAATTCTCATCTGGCCCAGCCTGCACAACCAACACAAAAGTCAGCAGACAAGACTTACTCATGCTGGATATTAAAATGAAGAAAATCCCTATTTCAGAAGTGGAATTCCAAAAACAGATTAAATAATTTATGTGTCACTTGCTTCCTCAAGACTGACATGGGATGCAATAATAAAAAATTATATGAATTCAATTAATTTAACAAAGCATATAGCCCTCAACAAAGAGGGATGGCGAAAAGGGGGCTCAAAGACCCCCTTAGTGTTTTGGTTTTCCTATCCTCTTGATACGTTAGAAGCATTTTTATTTTGATCAAACCCCTCGGGTTGTGAGGGTCTTGTGTTCTCTTTGGAGATTAGGTCTTGTTAGGTTGCCCTAGCGGCATATGTTATCCTTGAAATAAAACACTAAAAAAAAACCTATGCTTGATACAGGGGTTAAAAGTGGCATATGTAGGGGCCAAATTGTTCAGCTTGAAAAATAGGGACCAAAGTAAAATATGAATAAAACTACAAGGGTTAAAGGTGTAATTTATCCATAAATCAAATGGAACTACACACATATCATTGATCGCAGGAGAAATATGACCCAATATTGATAGCAGCTTAGTAAAGAATTCCATCTAGTAAGACTTTTTTTAGTCAAAAGAAGCTGGAATTAAGAAGCTGTAAAGGAAGACACAAGAAAGAGCCAAAAGGTAGTTACGAAAAGGGGTGTTCATCTTCACTCATTGCAAAGATGTCAACGGCAAAGCCAGCATCCCAAAATTTTTGTCCTTTATATCAAGACTAAATAACTAATAGCTAAAGTAGCCAACCCTGGTGATTCATTTACATGCCACATGTAAAAACTCACATGGACAAGTTGTCTTGGAAATAATCTCCCGTTCCCATCAATTTGTCTGCTCAGGTATGATTTTGCATCTTTCCAAGCAGATATAGTGTGTGTCTCAAGTTCTTCCTCTGTCAGATTGGAACCATGGCTACCAAGCTGCAAAACAGGTCAGAAACATTTGTTGAAATAATCTTACATTGGTTCACATCTGACTTAACGACAAAAATATAGTATGATGTTAGTAACTAGAAAAGCTATATATCTTGTCTACAGCCCCTAAATTTAAAAGCTTTCAAACCTAAAGATCATGACCAGATAAGCCTACTTAGAAGCTCAAAGATTTGTACCAATGACAACACACACACACTACACACAAATTTACTTTAAACCCCCAAACATACCTCTCTTATAATCATGATAAAATCCAAAGCACTAAGAACTCCAACAAACTGTCCCTTGTAGAAGTCCCAAAGAGGAGCCATAGGAATTCCCTGGAAATAACTAGTCTCAGAAAGGTACATAGAAATGCTAGTAATAAAAAAAATTAAAATTAAATGCCTGAAAACATTGTAAAGAATTGACACATAAAAATGTGATCTGAAAGCATAGATGAACTTCTAATAAAATGTGACTTCAAGGAATTTGCAAATAACTACTGAAATAATCTGGTACATTGCACAGCCCCACAGAATAAAACGATATTACTCATTTCTCCAACAACATGCTGCATTTCCAAGCATGAAATTCTAGTGTTCATGTTAACAAAAAGAAAGCACTGCCAGAATGCTAACCAACCAAATTTGGAATCCACTAGATTACATTCCAAATATTAGATAAGTACACTTCATGATTTGCTAGAAAATCATATTTTATATAGTACCTTCATTGCAAACTATTTGCTTATACACTCAATAAACTAACACTATACAGTCATTAGCACATCTTTCTAAGGTAAATAACACTCCAGCAATATCCAATAAATTCTAACATCAGAGAGAGAGAGAGAGAGAGAGAAAGAGATACTTGTTCATGCAGAATATGAAATGCTTGTTTTACAGGTAAATCAACATCTAAGGCAATGACCTGCAAGCCACATGTATCTATATGAGAAACATGAACATAGTTGCAGCAATCAAATCTATTTGATCTTCCAAGAGTAGATAAAAATAAAATAAAGTCAAGGGAAAATTATTCAAACCTTGCCTGACTCAGGAAGCAGCTCATAAGCCATATGTGTAGATAGAAATATAGTAATACGGTGGCGGGAAACCTCTAAATCAGCTTCTGATACCCTTGGCAAGGCTTCATGCAATGGACCACCTGAAACTCTAACCTGCAATTATATACGAGTTGATAAATTAAAATTCATAGAAAAGATCATCTAGCGATACTTCAAAGTCCACCTTTCTCAATGTTCTCACTAATATAAGACGTGAATATGCAATGCATAACACTTAAAGACAGATGTGAGCCAAAAAAAGATTTCTTGATTTTTTTTTTTAAATTCTTTTAAGACTCATTAATCACATCCAAACTAGGGAAACCTCCATTGGCTTTAGACACTTCCCTTTTGCATTTTCTAAAATAGGGAATAAAATTTCTTTTTATTTCAAATTATTGAAAGAAATTCCAAAATTCAAATGGGGTTATACTTTTCACAGTTCTAAGTCCATCATATTGTTTCAGATTTGGGCGATTTTAGGAACGATCACATTGATTTGATAAGACAAAAAGGTGAAACCTGAATTAAACCAGTTATGCCGACAGCATTAGCAAGAGAAAAGTAGGCAGGAAAAATCTAAGGGGTAACAACGGCAGACAAGCCCAAAACTATAGCGACACTATAAGCATGCTCTTGTATGCAAAGAGATACCAAAGAATTTCTGACTTTAGCAATAACAACATTAGGTAACATCCTATACTATACACATAGAAATCCACTAGTATCTGACTTTTACCACCGAAGTACACAAAAGATTGTAATAGCAAGAGTTCATAATGGGTATCATGATTAGTCAAGTACAAATGCATACAGGATGGAAAAATGCTCAGCATGCTTTTGTTTGAAAATAGAATTTACATAGGAGCAAATGACGAGATATTAGGTTCCAGGCAACTAGCTGTAAAAAAAACAGTTCATTATATCAGTCTCATACCAAACGCTGAAAAGCCTCGTTATCCACATCCATGTTAGAACCAGAATGCATTTGTGGATTTAGGATTCCAGGAACATAATCAGATTCCTTGGCTAAGAAAACAGTGTTCACTGTCCCATAGTTCCCATTCTCAAAAGGCTGGAGCTCATCATGTCGCCACTCGCCGTCAACGACAAACTTGTACTGTATGTAACAGAATCAAAACATATGCATACAAGATCTTCAAATTGAAAAAAAAAAAAAACAAACTGATCAAACAAACACATTCTATGCCTACATAATTATAAAAAAAATAGGAATAAGAAAAATAAATAACAACTGTTAATGTTCCTAATTAAGTGGCAAGTATTTGCAGAGCTTAAATAATTCAGACAGTTCCCAAGCATATTTCAGCTGCACTAATGAATTAAAAATTTACAGCGAACCATCAAGCTTTACTTGGACCACATATCATTTAATTCTTTTCAAGTTTTCACTGCCCCACAAATAGCACCATTCTACTTCAGGGTAGTTCTTGATTATCTACAATCTCTTCATTGCTCTTTCTAATATGTATTGCAAAAGCTCTTCATTTATAAGCCCATATATCGCTTAACTACCATAAATTTAATTTCATAATAAATTTTTAAAAAAGAAGTAAAGTTTACTTTAAAACTACACTTTGCGTAACTTTAGGCTACCTACTCTGTTGAATTGCCCTGTTGTCAATGGTGGGGGGTTTAATTTATTAACGCTGTATTTGGTTGAGGGATTTGGGAACAGAAAGGGAAAAGATAAGTGAAATGTGAATAAAATACAACTACATTTCACCAAATTTCACACACCTTTTCCATTTCCTTTTCCAAATCCATTCCCAAATCCCCCAACCAAACATAAGTGCCAACTTGGGCACCATGTACCTTCCTTCCTGCATTTAAAATGGCCAAATAGAAGATTTGACTAATTTAGAAGGCAGTTATAACTGAAAAATTTGTTAAATACTTTTGACTTTCTACAAACATTTGTAAGCATTTATTTATGTGTGTATATGTATATGTATTCTGGTTCTAGAAATGCTTTGAACTAGGTACTCGGAAAATCACCGTAACTCTCGTTCTACACTCCAATTAGTCAAAGTACAACCATACTTGTTACCTGCATACAAAGCATTTATGCTTGCATGAGATTACATAAAGCAAAGCAAACTTGGCCACATAAATTAAACTTGATATTAAAACTATAACCAATAACTCTATAATTCATTTTTCATGACAAGTGGACCAAAATTAACTCCTTGAAATATCAAAAGTGAGCAAAATTTGCACTCAAAAGTGTTGGAAGTTAGCCCCCAAAGTTAAATATCATAAAAATTATTGCACTCATACCAGATTTTTGCTACTAAGCTACATTAATGAAACCCACAATTGGGGTGAATACTGCATATTGGAACATTTTATTTTAAGAGAAGTTGTGCTACATATGCTCTTTTTTTTTTCTTTTCTCTCTACCAAAAACCATTAAGAGTACTATTGCATTATGTTTGAGCCACATTTACCATAAAAAACTAATACCCTTAATGCACTACCTTAAACATGATACAACTCTTATCCAAAACTGTTAATTTAGCGATTTGAACAATTTTTTTCCTGTTTATTTCCTTAATGTTTCCTTTGTGAAGCCAAGTAACATGGTATGAGGAGTTATTTTTCTGATTATTCCCAATTTGTCTGTATCTTTACCCCAGTTGTTACCAAAAGCCGGATAATAAGATTATAACTAAAAACTAACAATGACCTTCAACGAAGTTTTGCTTGGAATAGCAATAGGAGTCCATCTTTTTAATGACTTCATTTACTACAATATTGTCATTTTCTTTAACTGATACACGGCGTCTTGGTATGAAAGTGAAAACTATACTTCATTGGGACCCCAAAAGGAAGAAGCACTCACCCTTACATAGATCTTAAAATATCTTATGGAGCAACAAAAACATTAATAAATGTGAAAAGACACATATTTTTCAATATGAGGGTTAGACATTTATGTTTAAACTTTGAAATGTGCATTCCAGTTTTCTCAGACTACAATTTTTTGCAAGTTTATACTGGTTTCTGTAGATTACTGATGTATGTTATAGTCAGGATTAGGGATGGCAAAATGTTCCGATCCACCGGGCCCTGACTCCCCCCCCGGACCCTAATGGGATGGGTTGAATAAGGTAGGATCAGATTTTGGGAAACTTCTGAAAAACCCAATTGGGTTTGGGCCGTGGTGGGGGAGAGTATTTTTACCGACCCAATCCGACCTGCAAATATAGTAATAAATAAATAATAATATTACATATATATGTAATATGTGCATAATATACTGTTGAATTTTTATAGAATATATATATATATATAATATCTATTGAGTTTTTATTATGTTATATATATAATATAATTTTGGGATATTCATCAATAAATCTCATCTCATAAAAAAGTATTCCAATTAGTCCCAAGCTTTTTTTATTGATCTTTTAAGCCCTCAGAGTCACTTTCCGTGTGATCCTATTTTTTATTTTAGTAGTGTTTAGGTGGACAGATATACCTTTTTATTAATGTGATACGTACGATGCGATACTCCTATGTGACAGGTATTAATGTGACACGCCAACGATGTGACACACCAAAAAAATTAAAAACTCCTTAAGTCTCGTTTGGAAATAGGCTATTTTAGTAACTTTTTGACTAAAATATAAAGTAAAAAAAAACTAATATATTTGGAATGACTTTTTGATTTTTTACAAAAAAATGCACAAAAAGTAGAGAGAAAATGAAATCTTTGACTTTTTGGTATAGGTTATAGGCATTTGGTTTTTTTAGTAACTTTTTGACTTTTAAGATAAAACAAACACTTGCCAAACGAGGCCTTAGTGTACTTTTTCTAAATGTGACGTGTGATGGTTATAATGTGACGCTCCAAAACTTTTACTCCAAAAAAAATAAAAAATCCTTAGTGTACTTTTTCCAAATGCGACAATGTAGCGGGTATGATGTGATACTTCAAAAAAAATAAAAATTACTTAGTGTACTTTTCTCAAACGTGACAACGTAGCGGGTATGATGTGACACTCTAAAAAAAATTTAAAATTTCTTAGTGTACTTTTTCCAAACGTGACATGACACTCCAACGTAACGGGTATGATGTGACATTCTAAAAAAATTAAAAACTCTTTAGTATATTTTTTTCCAAATGTGACACTTTAACGTGGCGGATATGATGTAACATTAAAAAATTCTTTAGTATACTTTTTCTAAATGTGACACTCCAATGCAACGGATAAATGAGTCATTACACATTCAAAATAACTAAATGGATCACAAGAAAAAATATGAGACTATATAGATTACAAGTCCAAAATATAGGGCTTATTGGTCAATCTCTCTATAATTTTAATATATGTATAATATATAATATATACTTCTAATTATAAATAGTATTTTCTAGTTTTAATTATTAAATTTTAATATTATTCTTAAATTTCTTATTGTGTTGCGGATCGGATAGGGTCAGAGTGGTAGTTATATTTGCGGGTGCAGGTGCGGGTCCCCAACCCATACCCTACCCTACCCTACCCGTTGCCATCAAGACTCATGGGTGGTCACATGGCCCTATGCGGTGACTTCAATCCGCTCACCATGTAAATCAACAAGTGTTCGAAGAAAGTACATCATTCTCAAGCATCATGTTGTGGCTTTTGTTTGAGAGACGTATAATTCTATGTCTCTCCATGTTGAATGTTCTAAATCTCTCAACAGCTCTGTTCCACTACGAGTTTTAATGGCCAAGCAGGCAATTGCCTAAATAAGCCACCCAAGTATAGTGGGAACTTGTGGCATGCAAAAGTTACAGTTTTCCCATCGGAATTGCATAAGAGTTGATTTTGTATTTTCTGTGTTGCAGTGTTTTGACAAGGAAAATACAAACTAAATTGAGATTATAAAGAAGGTTTGATTAGAAGCTGTACTATATTTTGGCCACAACATCATGTCCATCACTGAAGGGGCAGCCTCTGCACCCGATATAAGGATGTGAAGTGAACCTCATAATTTATTGCGTAGGCCTCAGTTTTGGCTTCATTCACCCTTTGCCAAAAACCAAGCAGCACCATGCTATTTTATTTATTGTCAGGAACAGACTTCTCAAGGAGTAGACACATCCTGGGATTTTTCAGAAGTCAGGTTATTTTATTTTTACATCTTGAATATATCTTTACTGCAGTATTGGTGAAGCATTCACCGTAACCTATACACCGGTTGCTTAGGCTAGTTAATTCAGAAGTTTCATGATGCAAGTTCAAGAATGCATCATGGGTGCCGATGACAGCATGATTTAAAGAATCCCACAAAATGTTTACTAATTTTTTATGCTGTAAAAGAAAATAAGAGTCAATTGGAAGTGCATCCTAAAGTTCTTATTAATAACCATTAGCTTCATAAACCAACAGGGTCAGTATGGTGAACTCCTCACAAAAACCTAATGCATTATACAAAATGAGAATACGACAAAATAGAAGTCTACTGAGTTGAATTGTGCTTACCAAATAAAAAGGCCCACTGACAAAGACTTTCCATGCTTAGAGTTAATGACATCTTTTAACATTGGTGAATATATAATTCCAAAACCTTCTAATCCAACTTCTTTCTTATTTTAATAATGTTCTTTTTTCCTTCACTAATGCGCCAATTACAGCTCTTAGCAAATGTGCTAAATTCAACTTAACAAAATGAAAAAAAAACTACATGAGGGTTCAAAAATATTGTTATCACAGATCATCACGGTAAACTTTTTGTGGAAATAGGAGGAAATCAAATTTAATATTGGAGTGTTTAACGCATTCATTAATATTCCATTCATTATGACAACATGTCCAAGTGAAGATCCCAAATTAACTCCTCTAGATCTAAACCTCTTCACTGATTCTTTACATCAATTTAAAAATAAAATCACAAAATAGTAAATAAATCATTTAAAATAAATGATCACTTGAAAGCTAGGACAGAATCAGTTCATCTTCTAAGCTCAACAACATTATGTTCTTGTGTGCAGAGAAGACACATCTTCTAAGCCGGGAAGAAATTTCTATACTTTGTTGTTCAAGTAAATTAAGAGAGAGAAACCATATTTGAACAATTAAAAACAATGCACTTGCTTCTTTGTTCCGTAAGCATTCAAAATAATACAGCGGAATTACCTCCCTTGTAATAAGTATTATTTGCAAGAAAACAAGATGGTGCATGGAGAAATACTAAAATGGGAAGAAGTGTTTACAATCGCAGCATATGACAGCAAGAACTTAGGGGATGAAACAAGTTTTAAGAAAAATGATAGTACCATTTTCACATCCAACCACATCAAAAGGCAACATCTATTAGAACAATTACCATACCTAAAAAGGTTGCTAGAATTTACCACCGAGCACTTGCATAAGTTTCACTATGCCCATAAAAAACGTAAATGTTTTGTTTGTTCATGAAACCCATTTACCATATATGAACTCATCCACCATTCACAACACATAATTGACAAATTTGCATGAAAAAATAAAAATAAATATGATTTAACAGGAAATTATTTGACAATAGTGATCAAGGTATCATAGAATTAAACTCAGCTCGAGTGGAAACATCAAAACCTACTGAAGTTATAAACCAACCTGATGGTAACCTGGCGGTAAGCTGCAAATAGTCTGAAATACAGTGGGGCACCCTTCGACAGGAGTCATCGGATAATGGCCAGACCACCTTTACCAGAAAAAAGTTAACTTCCCATCAATTAAAATCAAACAAATAACAATCAATTGAACTAAGAATTACAACAAAGTAATGAACAACACAATGCAGCTAACAAATAAAACATCAAAATCACACGTGAGCATTTGAGTCTCACCCTGTAAAAGAACCAGAGAGTAAAACACTTTCTCCCCCATAAGGCCACACAAACCGCGTCGGGATTAGCGCCGTGGCTGCAGCTGTTTCACCCGTTTCCTTTGCGTAATCCATGCCCCAAGAGAACATTCACTCCCAAAATAATTGGTAGCCCTCCAAGCAACAAACAAATTTCCTATTAACCCTAAAAGGATAAATAAAAATCAAATACTTATTTTACAACCCAGTACACCATTGAAGCACATTCAATTCCCATGAATAAAAATTAAAATAAACCCAGTACTTCAAAGTTGAATCTTCGAATTCTACCACCAAAAACCTCAACTTTCCAATGAACAATGCCTCACGCAGTACACGATTAAAGACGCGATTTTAATGAAGCAAATACAAGTACGATTCAGAAAAAATAATAATTTTTAAAAAAATTGGTTATCAACAACTCCACTTGAGTTGTATGGACGAACCCAGAAAAACCCAGGTTCAGGCGGATTCAAACTAACAGTAAATAGGCTTTGAGAACAATAGCGAACGCGAACAAACGATCTGGTATGAAGGCAAAATCAAAACCTTAAACCTAGTCTGAAACCCTAAAAGAATAAAAAAAAAATTGAAACTTTGCTGAAGCAATTGAACAGCTATTGGAAATATATTATGGAAATATTGGAGAAGCGAACGAAGGTGGACTGTTGGGGGATATATAGAACCCTAGAATTTGTGCAATTATGGGGGTGTTTTGGGCAAATATTTGTATACTTTCCTTTTGTGGAACTCTCAATCCGTACTACATGATAAGAATTTTAAGTGGGATGTATATATGTATTATTGGGTTGTTTGAAATGATTTAAATAAATGTATTTTTTATTTTTTTATAAAAAGATGTATAGAAAAGTAAAAGATGATGTGATGATAAAAAGATAAAAAATATAGATTATTTTTAGGTTGCCAAACTTAATCTAAATATGTATAAAAATATTAACGACAATCGAGTGGATATTTGCTAGAATTAAGAAATATATAAAAGTATATAAAATGTGTATTGAATTTATTTTTCCCTATAATTTGTGCAATTTTGGGGGTGTTTTGGGCAAATATTTGTCTACTTACTAAGAAATTTAAGTGGAATTTATATATGTAATAGATATGTATAGAAATATTAATGACAATCGAATTGATATTGGTTCAAATTATGTAATATGTATAAAATATATAAAAGTACATAAAATTTGTATTGAATTTTTTTTTTTTTTTTGTAAATTTTTATTATTTGAAGTTTAACTTATAGTTACTAAACGATTGGGGTTTTTTTTTAAGGTCCCTCGTATTAAGATTTTATAGCATAAAGGACATTTAATATTTTCATAATGTCTAAGGTCCCTCAAGTTGATCCAGAGAAAATTGGTTCAGAGAAAATTAATTCAGAGAAAATTGGTCCAGAGAAAATTCACATCACGAAGAAAATTGGTCCAGAGAAATTCTAGTACTTTCTAGAGAAACTCTACACAACGTAGTAACTCTTTCTTCAAGCAACCTGCTGGAAATCCAGAGAAAGTTGGAAAATAAGAGGTTGCCAAATTTCTCTGGACAACATTGAGGACTAGTTCAATCCAAACCAGAGAATTTCTCTGGATCAACCCAGAGAAATTTTAGTTCAAACCATAGAATTTCCCTGGACCAATAGAGAAAAAATTCAGTTTAAACCTGAGAATTTTTCTGGACCAACCCAGAGAAATTTCAGTTCAAACAATAAAATTTCTCTTCACCAATCTAGAGAAATTTCAGTTCAAAGCAGAGAGAGAATATCATTTCATTGAGTGAATAAGCAACAAATAGCAACCCATATATATATATATATATATTAAACAAATTTCTCTGAGTTTATTTTTTTGAAATTTCACTGACTTGTCAAGATATTTCCATGGCATCATTCAAGACATCAAACCCTAACCCTACACTTGATGATCCTCTTTCACGATGTAACCCAGGCAACACTCCTGTGCATCTCTCATTTATTAAGCCAATCTTAATCCCAAAATGAAAATATACTTATGAACCTCCATTTTCATTCACATCCAAAACCCTTAAACCCAATAACGAAAACGAGGAAAAGAAGTAAGGAAATAGTCAAAACAAGACTTCATTGAAATCAGTGAAAGTCTTAGATTTTTCATTGAAATCAAATCTACCATTTGATTTCAGGTACTCATACTCTGAGACTAACCCTTCGATTGAACCCATTGGGTACTGTGAACCACCGAGATTCTCTTCCCTTAGACTTGGACAGCTCAACCGGAAATGGACTGGCACTTATGCTCTGGCTGAAGAAGCAGTTGATTTGCTATAGGTAGGAGAACAACGACGTGAGGTTCTTGGTAGACCACTCTCCGAAGAACAAGTTGTTGTGCTTGTGGAATGGTTTCGTCATAATGATTGTTCTCAACAGATTAATTTGGGTACTCTCTCTCTTTCTCTCTCTCTCATCTGTATTTCCTCTCTCTCTATATATATATATATATCACTCACTCATCAGATTTGAAAATGAGTGCTATAGTGTAATGGTAATCTCAAACACACACAGATCGATTGACTGTGTATTTTTGGTGTTTGATTTGGCATTTTGTTGAGGATCTGAGAAAGAAGAAAAAAAAATGGGCTTGTGAAATCAACAGATAGATAGAGAAAGAGATGAGGAAGACAGAGAGGGAATACAGCGGAGAGAGAGATAAATGAAGTGCTGCTTTGCCATCTCTTCTCTCTAGGGTTTCAGAGAGAGAGAGAGAGAGAGAGAGGAAGTACTGCTATACAGTAGAGGACAAAAGACAAAGAGTCAAATTTCTCTGATACATGTTTAAGGACCTTAGACATCAAAAAATAATTTTGTGGATCTCTTCCATTACGAAAAGTGAGAGAAGGATCCTAGACTAATTTTCCCTAAACGATTTTAACCAACTCTACCGATAGTAATTAAGACTTAATATTTTTTTCAATATCAAATTATATTAAGAGAGAATATATGGTTGTGTTTGGTATGCAATTCTAAATATGATTCGACACCTACTTTTGAGTTTGGTGTTTGGTTACAACTTTCTAAAATTAATTCTACACCTTATTTTGAAAATTGGAAATCAAGCGAGATAATTTTTCCTATCCCGTCGTCCCCCGGGACGTCTAGCCAGTTGACAGGAACAATAAATTTTATTTATTTTTTGCAATTGGCACTTATTATTTTTTTTATATTTCAAATAAAAATATTTGCAAAATTTTTAAAATTTTCTATGAGCTTTTAATATAATTTTTAATTATGTGTTTGGTTATAAGTTGTAAGTTTTTGTATCAAATATCATATGTCACATCAAAATTTATAAACTCAATTCAAAATTCTTTTCAAAACTCATAATCAAATAAATTTTTCATACTCAAACCATAATTTCACAGCTCACAAACTCAAAATATAATTCTACTTTCAAATCATATTTAAAAAATTCTACCAAACGCTACCTATATATATTTTTTTTCATCAAAAGTGCCTTTTGAATTTTTCCTTCATTCTCACTACTCTGCCATCCCTCTTTTTATAGTTGCTACCTTTCATTTATTTCTGTTGGGATATATCTTCTTATTGGAGTTTGAGACCCAATTGGTATATTAAAAGAGTTTGGTTTGGTTTAGGTATAATATATTTTATATATTATATCTGACTTTTGGAATCCTAATAGGTATTTGATAGTCAATTTGATAATAGTTAGGATTTTTATATCAAAGCTTAAGAGTTAACCCCATATATATATATATATATATATATTGTTTATTCTTCACAAAGTACTGGACGACTGCTACAAACTTTTCACCTTTTCCGAAGTACTGTGCGGCTGGTTTGTGTGAGTACGCATTGGGTTTATTTCGACATCGTGTGAATTGATTTGGTTTGTTATTCTTGGGTCTTCTTCAATTCTGGTTTCGAAGATTTTTGTTCATTTATTTGGTGAGGTCTTTCCTCTTGTTTATTTGTTGATTATTTCGAATTCACGTAAGGGTGGCTTGTGAGACCATTCGTGTCTCATTTGTAATCGTTTAGAAACTATTTGGCTGCTAGTGGAATCGAATTTCAATCTCGTTGACGTACCTCACATTGAGGGAACCACATAAAAATTCTTGTGTTGCTTTTTGATTTAATTTTTTCGCATTAGTTTTTTATTCCCACTGATTGATTTACTTGTGGAAAGTCTTATATTTTTCCTAACAACTGGTATCAAATGTTACGGTTTATTTGGATTTATTTATTTGTGTAAATCAATTTAGGGGAATGTGGGTCGTATGTCTAACTTCAATGAAAGCAATTTAGTAACTTGGAAAACTAAAATGGATAACCTATTATTTTGTAAAGATTTGTATGGACCCATTGAGGGTGACAGTAGCAAACCTAATGATATGAAAGATGATGAACGAAATAGGCTTAATCGAAAAGCTGTTGGTGTTATCCGTCAATGGATTGATGACAGTGTGTTTCATCATGTTGCTGCTGAAACTTCAGCACATGATTTATGGAAAACAAATTAGAAGGCCTTTATGATAGGAAATCAGCCACAAATAAAGTTTTTCTGTTTCGTAAGTTGGTTAATTTAAAATATAAAGAGGGTAGCCCTATTCCGGAACATCTAAATGAAATAAAGAGTATTGTTAACCAACTTGCTTATATGAAAATTGTTTTTGATGATGAGTTGCAAGCTTTGATGCGTATTTAGTTCTTTACCCGAAAGTTAGGAGACTTTGGTTGTGACAGTTAGTAATTCGGCGCCCGATGGAGTTGTCACAATGGGTCAAGTCACTAGTAGCTTGTTAAATGAAGAAACTATAAGAAAATCAGCGGGTTCCTCTCATTCAGAGGCATTTGTTGTGAGAGGCCGAAGCAAAACAAGGGAGAAGAGTAAAACTCCTTATGATCGTGATCAAGGCCTTTATGATAGGAAATCAGCCACAAATAAAGCTTTTCTGTTTCGTAAGTTGGTTAATTTAAAATATAAAGAGGTCAGCCCTATTCCGGAACATCTAAATGAAATAAAGAGTATTGTTAACCAACTTGCTTCTATGAAAATTGTTTTTGATGATGAGTTGCAAGCTTTGATGCGTATTTAGTTCTTTACCCGAAAGTTAGGAGACTTTGGTTGTGACAGTTAGTAATTCGGCGCCCGATGGAGTTGTCACAATGGGTCAAGTCACTAGTAGCTTGTTAAATGAAGAAACTATAAGAAAATCAGCGGGTTCCTCTCATTCAGAGGCATTTGTTGTGAGAGGCCGAAGCAAAACAAGGGAGAAGAGTAAAACTCCTTATGATCGTGATCAAAGCCGTGACAAATCAAAAGATGGTTATTTTTCAAATAATGACTTTGAGTGCTATTATTGCCATGAGAAATGGCACATGAAGCGAGAATGCCTAAAACTCAAGAATAAGGAGAAAAGACGTGACAAAAGTGTGGATAAGAAGTAAGAAGACACAATGGCAGTTACTACCAATGGTGATCTTATGGCCGTTTGTGAAGATGATTGTATCAATTTTGTGGCCCAAGAGAGCAATTGGGTGATTGATTCCGGTGTTTTTTTTCATGTGACTTATTGAGTTGATTTTTTCACTACCTACACCAAAATAGATTATGGTTCTATTCAAATGGGTAATGAAGGTTTGTCCAAGATCATTAGCATGGGTGATGTTTGCTTAGAAACAAATTTGGGCTGCAAGTTGTTGCTTAAAGATGTGAGGCATGTTCTCGACATTCGCCTCAATTTGATCTCTATTGGGAAGCTAGATAATGAAGGCTTCAACAACAAATTTGGTGATGGAATATGGAAGCTCACAAAGGGTTCTTTGGTGGCGACTAAGTGCAAGAAGACTTATACACTTTATTCGATGCAAGGAAAATTTTGTAAAAGTGTTGTCAATGCACTTGAAGATGATACTTCTATCGAATTGTGGTACAAGCGGCTTGGCTATATGAGTGAAAAGGGGCTACAAGTTTTGTTCAAGAAAGAGCTTCTACCCAGTTTGAAAAGTACATATCTTAAAACTTGTGTTCATTGTTTTGTGGGTAAACAACATAGAGTTTTTTTTCATAAAAATTTTGCTTCTAAAAAAGAAAATGTTTTGGAGTTGATTCATTCGGATGTTTGTGGTCCTTTAAAAGTTAGAACACATAGTGGTGCACTTTATTTTGTTACTTCCATTGATGATTATTCAAGGAAAGTTTAGGCTTTTCTACTAAAAGCTAAAGATCAAGTTCTAGAAGTATTTAAGCATTTTTAGGCCATGGTTGAAAGAGAAACAGAGCAAAAATTAAAGTGCATCCGATCAGACAATGGTGGTGAATACATTGGGCCATTTGATGAGTATTGTCACAGCTAAGGTATTCGGCACCAAAAGACAGTTAAGAAGACTCCTCAACAAAATGGCGTTGCCGAGAAAATGAACTGCACCATTGTGGAAAGAACAAGGTTTTGCTTTCACAAGCTAAATTGCCAAGATCTTTTTGGGGTGAGGCAATGAAGACAGCGGTTGACGTGATCAATTTGTCTCCTTCTTATTCTTTGAATGGTGATGTTCCAGAAATAGTTTGGACTGACAAAGATGTGTCTTATAAGCACTTGAGAGTGTTTGGTTGCCGAACTTTTGTTCACATTCCAAAGAATGAGAAGCCCAAGCTTAATAGTAAGTCAAGACAATGTATTTTTCTTGGCTATGGGCATGATGAATTTAGGTATGGATTGTGGGATCCGGTCGACAAGAAAGTCATTCGAAGTCGTAATGTTGTGTTATTTGACGACCAAACAATTGAAGACTTTGGTAAAGGTGATCAACCGGAGCAAAAAACTAGTGATTTCATTGATATGGATCCATCTCCTTCATCCTCAGTTGATGATGAAAATGAGAGAGATGTGCAGCAACCTATTGAAGATGTAGAGGATGATGTTAATCCTAATGAAGTTGAGTCGGAAGTTGAGGAAGAACATCCATCTCAAGAATCGTCACTACAACTTGAGTTGAGAAAATCTACAAGGGACCGACAACCTTCGAGAAAGTATCCTCCTAATGAGTTTGTGCTGATTTCTGATCAAGGGGAGCCTGAGAGCTACCGAGAAGCAATTGAGCATGCAAAGAAAGGTGATTGGAAAAAGGCCATGGAAGAATAGATGAATTCCTTACTTGAAAATCACACCTATGATTTAGTGAAGTTGCCTAAGGGGAGGAAAATTTTGAAAAATAAGTGGGCCTTCAAATTGAAGAATGTGGGTGTTTGGTAGAACTTTTTTTCAACTTAAATCAGTTTTTTTGCTTAAATTAAGCTATATTGGTGTGTTTGGTACAACTTATGAGGATAGATTATGGCTTAATTTAAGCCAAATTTCGGCTTAAATGGAAAGTTGTTGATGGCAAGAATATGAGGTACAAGGCACGTCTTGTTGTGAAAGGCTTTGGGCAAAAAAAGGGTATTGATTTTGATGAGATTCTCTCGCCGGTTGTGAAGATGTCTTATATTTGGGTTGTACTTGGCATGGCTATAAGTATGAACCTTAAAGTTGAACAACTTGATGTAAAAACCGCATTTCTTCATGGTGACCTTGAAGAAGAAATTTACATGGAGCAACTAGAAGGTTTTATGGAAAAAGGGAAAGAGAAATTTGTTTGCAAATTGAAGAAAAGTTTGTATGGTCTCAAGCAAACTCCGCGGCAATGGTACAAAAAAAATGACTATTTCATGATGAATAATGGTTTTTCTAAAACCACTTCGGACCATTGTGTGTTTGTGAAAAATTTTCCGGATGATAAATTTATTATTCTTTTGTTTTATGTTGATGACATGTTAATTGTGGGTCAAGATTACACCATGATAAACAAGTTGAAATTGGAGTTCAGCAAGTCTTTTGCTATGAAAGATTTGGGGCTGGCAAAGCAAATTCTTGGTATGAAGATTGTTCGTGATCGCAAAGAGGGGCTGATTTAGTTGTCTCCAGAAAGCTACATTGAGAAGGTTTTTAAGAGATTTAATATGGATAAAGCAAAGTCGGTTGGTTGTCCACTTGCGAGTCACTTCAAGTTTAGTTTGAATCAATGTCCTACAAGTGAGAAAGACAGGGAAGATATGCAGAAAATTTCTTATGCTTCAACAGTTGGTTCTTTAATGTACGCCATGGTTTGTACAAGGCCGGATATTGCTCACGCCGTTGGTGTGATGAGCCGGTTTCTCTCTAATCCGGATAAAGAACATTGGGCAACGGTAAAATGGATTCTAAGGTATCTTCGAGGGACTTCAAAGGTGTGTTTATGTTTTGGGGATGGTAAGCCGATGCTTGATGGATTCACAGATTCTGACATGCCGGTGATGTTGATTCTAGAAAATCTACTTCGGCGTATTTAATGACTTTTGCAGGGGGAGCTGTGGCATGACAATCTAAATTACAAAAATGTGTTGCTCTCTCAACTACCGAAGCTGAATTTATTGCCATTACGGAAACTAACAAAAAAGAGTTATGGTTGAAGAATTTTTGCAAGAGTTGGGTTTCAAGCAAGAAAAATATGTGCTTTATTGTGATAGTCAAAGTGCTATTCACTTGAGTAAAAATTTTACTTTTCATTCGAGATCGAAACACATTGATGTGAGATACCATTGGATTCGTGATGTGTTAGATTCGAAATTGTTACAACTCGAAAAGGTTCACACGGATGATAATATTTCGGATATGTTGACTAAGACTTTGTCGAGGGATAAACATTTAAAGTGTCGAACTTTGGCGGGTATGGTTGATGTCTCCAGCTACGTCAATAGGGGGAAAATTGTTGGGATATATCTCCTTATTGGAGTTTGAGACTCAATTATTTTATTAAAAGAGTTTGGTTTAGTTTGGGTATAATATATTTTATATATTATATCTGACTTTTGGAATCCTAATAGGTATTTGATAGTAAACAGTTAGGATTTTTATATCAAAGCCCAAGACTTAACCCCATATATATATATTTTTTATTCTTCACAAAGTACTGGACGACTGCTACAAGTTTTTCACATTTTCCGAAGTACTGTGCGGCTAGTTTGTGTGTGTATGCGTTGGGTTTATTTCGGCAGCGTGTGGATTGATTTGGTTAGTTATTTTTAGGTCTTCTTCAACTCTGGTTTTGAAGACTTTTGTTCATTTATTTGGTGAGATCTTTCCTCTTGTTTATTTATAATTATTTAGAATTCACGTAAGGGTGGCTTGTGAGACCATCCGTATCTCATTTGTAATCGTTTGGAAACTATTTGGTTGCTAGTGGAATTAGATTTCAATCCCGTGGACGTACCTCACATTGAGGGAACCACGTAAAAATTCTTGTGTTGCTTTTTGATTTAATTTTTCCGCATTAATTTCTTATTCCCACTGATTAATTTCCTTGTGAAAAATCCTTATATTTTTCCTAACAATTTCTACAATCTTTTACAACTCATTTCTCTTGGTACATTCATCTCTTGCAGATTCTATTGTTTGGTAGTTCTTTAGCTAGTCCGCTGTCTCTTTCTCTGACTTTTTTTCTTACAATTCCACCCCTCATCACCTATAACAACTTTGTTTTATCGCGACATATCTCTCTATCTCACCTTACACTCCAATTCATCCCTCACACACTTGCAAGTATTACACTTTCCCCACAAAATGATATCTTTTCCACTGTCATTACTTTACAAAAAAATGTAAGCCACTACTTTGTTAATCTTTAAAATCTTAAATTGTTACCTTTTAAATCATAAATGTTAGAGAGATATCTAGATACAAATTCTATGGCAAAAACAAAAAAACATAGGAATAAAGATGAAACTAACTATTTGCTATAAAAAAAGACTATGATTTAAAAATAAAAATAAAAATAAAAATTATCCTTCCCACCCTAATATACGGCATGCCTCACCTCGCCACACGGGTATTTTCAACTTAATAAGAAAACAAGAAAATGATGAGATTTAGTTTCCCACGTTTTATATCACTTCCACGCCAATTTTATTGTCTAAATACACTTATATGTATATATTTATATATTAATTTGTTAAATAAAATTAAACTAAAACACATAAATATTAACATTTCTCTAATTTGATAAATTTGATTGTTATCGTTAAGTAGTCATTGTATTTCATATAATATATTATTTTGTAAGTGTTGTCCATTATAAGGTTGACTAGTTAGTCTTCCACCTCTCACGTGTCTTGCTCCCCTTATTCTTGTATTTTAAATCTCTTTGGCTTTTCTCAACTTCTTGCTTTTGCTCTGGTCACATATTTTTTTTCTCAAACCCTTTCATACATTACAAAAAAATAAATGAAACACAAAATATTACAAATCTATCTCGTTGTCATCAATTAATGTTGACCAGTTATCCTATTACCTCTACATTCTTACCTTACGTCATTATCTTATAATCTCATTGAGTCTCTTACATTTACTCTTACTCTTACTTCGAGCATTTTATTTTTTTTAAACCCGATTTATTTTGTAAAAAAAAAAAAAAACCAAACAAACAAACAAACAAACGGGGATATAAGATCCCACAAATTCATCCCGATGTAATCTATTATAACAAATGCATTATAATTGACCTGCAATATTACTATTTTTAATATTAATAGTAATAATAATTAATATTATATTATATTACATTTAATTGTTAGGACAAAAGTGAAAACAAAAAAGACATACAACAAAGGAAAACTAATTAAACAAATACACGGAAAGAAAAAAACACAGGCTTTTCTCTGCTGTGCATGTATATACACACATCCATCGAACAACCCCACATCGTACCATTCGAATCGATTCTGCTGGCGATCAAGCGCGGCTCTGAAGAAGGGATTGAGGGTTTCTGAGTTCTGAGTTCGATTGTTACAATCAAAGGCTCCCAATACTCAGATTCATTCTACTTCGGTGAATATATATATATATATATGTATCAAATTATTGTATTAATGATGATCAAGTAGGTTCAATGAGGGTTTGTGATTACGCTCGATTAAGTCGGTTTCAGAGGAATTGGTATCTGGGTTTCTGTGGGTTTTTGAATTGTTTTGTTGGGTCGAGAAGTTATTTGCGATAGGAGTGTGATATGTTGGACTTTAGGGAAGGTGTTTTTTTGGGGTAGGGTTAGGGTTTTTGGGGCTAGAGTTAGGGTTAGGGTTTGTTGGTGTTCTGGAGGGTTGATATGGAAGATACAGAGCTTGAAGAGGGCGAAGCTTGCTACTACAAGGACGATACAAGCGTTGACCCTGACATAGCTCTCTCTTACCTTGTAAGAGTTCAATTCTGTTCTTACTGTAATTCGGTTCAACTTTTCTTTACTTGGTTGATCAATTAGGGTTGGAAGTCTTTTTCTTCAGACTATAAAACTTAATTGGACTGCACAATTTGATGATGCTAATAAGTGGTTTTAAGGTATAATCTATCCATGAATGGTGTTTTTATGTAACTTATTGATCACAACCCCTGAGAGAAGAGAATACATCATTTTTGAATATGAACTTGTGGAATGTACCTTAGTTGGCTTTAGATGCACTATTGTGGTGTTTGATATGGATTTTGTTCAGCTAATAAAAGAAAGAAGAGGAAAACAAAGAAGAAAAAGAAAAAGGTCCAACTACATTAAAATTTGGGTAAAATACACATCCAGTCGAAACTAAATACACAAGTGGTTTATTTTTGTCAGAATATGGAAGGGAATTTGGAGAAGTGGATAAATCAAATTGCAATCCAGCCTTACAGGTGCTAACTTTACTGTCACTAGCATCTTGGCTCATGCCGATGTGTGCACAATTAAACGGTTGAAACGGTCGGCAGTTTTTTTTTCTGAACGTGAGTTAGGTTTGATGTTACATGTTTACCTTCTTTTTTTTTTCTCCTGGTTGAATAACAACACACATAGGAGTTATTATATGCGGACTCCTAATTCTCTTGCTTTAGCGCAAAAGTAAGGCAGGGAAGTACAGATAGCAGGTGTTTTTTTGGAATAAAATAGGGTGATAACAGACATTATCACCAAGTAGAGTGTTCACTTATATAATATAATAGATAATAAATACAATAAATTGTTGTTGTTATTATTATTACTATTATTCTTTTTGGGGTTGTTTAGTGTATTATGATAGGTCACAGTTACTCGTACTCTTCATGATTCTGCCTTGAAGTATGTTCTATTTAAAGATTTAGTTTTTTTTATTTTTTTTTAATTATTTTTTATCTCAAATTTTTTTTTGGTTATAAAATAATGTTTTTTTTTCTTCTTCTATTTGTTGAAGGATGAGAAGCTTCACAGTGTGTTGGGGCATTTTCAGAAAGATTTTGAGGGCGGGGTTTCTGCAGAGAATTTGGGTAAGTTACCCAGCAATGGAACTTTTAAGATCATGAAGAAAAGCATAACTGCTTTTCCCTTCTCCAAAATGATGGCTTGGAATTACTTATTTTGTCAGGGGCGAAATTCGGTGGGTATGGTTCATTTTTACCCACTTATCAGCGTTCTCCCTCAGTTCGGCCTCAGTCAAAGACTCCACTGAGAGTTCAGAATTTCAGCTCACCAAGATCTCCTGATGTCTTGCCCATCGAGGTATTTAAAAAAGTTTCCTTATTATTATTTGTTGAATTGGTAGGAACAAGAAACATTTGGCTGACTGTTCAGCTTGGGAAATTTTAGTTTACATGAGTAATGCGGGTCGTGTTACTATACAGCGTGCTCCCCAGAATTCTACAGCTCCCTCAGATGCTGCTCAATCTCTAAGGCTTAACACTGCTTCCTGCAGTTTGAACAAATTGCATACTGCAAGGGCCTCATCAGGGGATATTTCAGCCAAACAAAATTCGTGCTTGCCTTCTGCTGTAGTTATTGAAAAGTTCCCTATGAAACATGAACCTGTTTCGATTAAGCCAGTTAATCCAACTGACCAGAGAACACTGAAGGTTCGAATCAAAGTGGGTTCTGATAACAGAGCAAGGAAAAATGCTGCAATCTATAGTGGCCTTGGGCTTATTTCTCCATCATCGTCAATGGGGAACAGTCCTGATGAGAGCGGTGGGATGTCATCTGAATGCCAAGAGAACGTGGATGAATCTCTTCACAGCATACTTCAGGTAAATTTTATTTCTACATTTTTCTTACAGAATACTTCATTTACGGAATGGACCTATAAGAACATGGTTGAACTTGCATTTGTTGGTTCTCTTTTCATGTCGTGGAACAGAGTATGACATCTTTTCCAGTCCCTGGTGGCTTTCTTTTGTCACCTCTCCATGAGAGTTTACTTTGCTTGGCAAGAAAGGAAAAACTTTCACAAAACAGTAAGCCTGTTGCTGCCATCAAGAGTGGGCAAGAGCATGCTGTTGCGTTAGCAGATGATTCAGCTTCCTTGATGGGGGATAGTAAAGTGCCAAAAGACAAGAAAGCAAAGATAGTGGAGAAGAGTGACAATTTGATAGTGTTGAAGCAAAAACTTGGTATGGATTTTGATGATAAAAGAACTACTATTGTGAAGCGCGAAGTTGATATTGAAGTGCGAAATGTGGAAAATGAGTCCCTGGACCAGAAAGGGTGTTTCTCTAATGACACAAAACCCAAGCGTATTTCAAATTCAGTATGCAATGTTGTGGACAGTGTGAAAGGTGCTGCCATGGCACCTGGGATCCCTAGGGAAGCTGGGAGAAACATATCATTGAAGAAGAGGGAAGTGACTAAGGATGGGATGGAAGACAGATTATCAACTGGGCTAGTTAAGGAGTCCGAGTCATTATCTGATCAAAAGGGTGGTAAGTATGAAAAGGCAGAATTGAGGACTAGGAGTAGTTCAATGGAGAAGATTTGTGAAAGCAGATTAAAAAATTATCATAGGAACGTTTCAGCCGATCTTAGAGAAGATGTCCAGAGCAAAGGAAACAAAGTTTCTGACCCATCGAAAGCTGACACTGATGTTTCTAAGTGCAGGAGAGATCATAATGTTGGGGCAATGGATCATTCCAGTTACAAGGTTGGTCAGACAACTACATATCATGGACAGGTTGAAGCTAAAATGCCTCATGGCATGGTAAAGTTTTCATTTGAGGGCAAAAATAAGTCGAAGGGAAGCCACAGTAATGGTAAGTCGGCTTCTGAAGCTGATGAAAGCTTGATGACCAGAGCATATGAAGTGCCAAAAGAGAAGAAGAAAGCTGCTAAAATGCACAATTCAAAGTCACAGAAGGATATTCAAGATGGCCATGATAACCGTAAAGATCTACTGCCCAAAACAAGAGTAGAACAGATGAATAACCAAATAAATTCATTGGAGAGGCCATTTGGTGATAAGCCAAAGAGATCTAACCCTGAGGCTGTTGAGAAAGAACAATGTGCATCATTGGATAAATTGAAGGAGATATCTACTTGTAAGAAGGTTGATACCCAGTTGACATCTGAAACTTGTTTGAAAGAGGCTGCAAATGATGTCCATCCTTCTGCTAAAGGAGTTACTTCTGAGATGGAACCGACTTCAGTGCCTCTTGTAGTTATAGAAGAAAATTGGGTCTTATGTGATCGTTGTCATAAGTGGCGCCTTCTACCAGATGGTACCAAGCCAGACCAACTTCCCGAAAATTGGTTGTGTAGCATGCTTAACTGGCTGTAAGTTTATTTTGCTAGCACTTGAAATATTAGAATGACAAGCTAGTTTATCCGGTTGAATAGATTAATTGTGTTATGCAAGACTTTTGCTGATAATAATTTATTGTATTTTTGCATTGCTCTCTATTGTGCACAATGTACACAGGCACAGTGTCTTTAATTTTACGTACAGACGTATACACCAATGTCACCTTTGAAGCCAGAACCTTTTACTTATTATAAATGTTCTTCACAGGCCTGGAATGAACCGTTGTGATATCAGTGAAGAAGAGACAACAAAAGCTCTCTATGCATTATACCAGCTTCCGCTTCCTGAGAGTCAGAATAACCTTGAGAAGCATGTCGATAGAACTGCAGCTGGAGCATCTTCAGCTGATGCCTTGCATTTGAACCAGAACCATCTGAACCTTAGTTCCCATGGCCTGCTTAATCCACGAAAGAAGAAACAGGGATCAAAAGGAACACCTTGCGCAGCCAGTAATGGTGTTCCAATTCAGATTTCAGGCTCTACTAAAAACATTCAAGAGGAGATGGTGAAATGCAGAAGCTTAAATGACATGAAGCAGACCATTTCGGAGTCCAATTTAATGAACAACTGTAGTGTTGAGCATTTGAGCAAGTCTCGCATTATCCCTATGGAAAGAAATACTCATAAACAGAAAGAAAAGCATGTAAATAGTGGTAAGGAAGAGCTAACATATATATTCTTAATTCCTACCTGCTTATTTATGTGAAATATGTAATGCATTTGTCTGATGGAACATATATTTGCAGGTGATGCCAAGCAAAAAAGGCTGAAAAGCAAGAGAGAAGCTGACCAGTATGTGTATGGGACTACAAAGAAAATTAAGGCTGATGTTGCATTTGGTATCAATAAGTATGGCACTACCGAACCTACTGGGAACATTGATAAGGTAGGTCGTGGTTTGCCAACTATGGCAGCTGTTAGGAGCACGGAGAAACACAATGGACATTTTTACTCCAAGGATGCCAAGTCTGACTGGAAGGAAAAGGTTCAAATTTCTGCAAAGAAACGGGAAGAATGCACTTCAATATCACTTCACACTGGGTCGTTGGATATGAAAAAGTATGATGAAAGAGAATTATCTCTGAAGAAGAGGAAATTAAAGGATTGGCAGGAAAGTCAGAATTATGTAGAGGCATCACGAGACAATGGTAATCATCTAACTGAGAGCAAGGTCTTCGTAAAGGAGGAGTCTAGTGATAGTGAATTCAGGAAGGCAAAGAAATTAAAGGTGTCTAGGACAGAGGGGAAGCAGTCCAGTACAAGCAAGGGTGAAGATAGATTAAAAAGAGAAAATAAGGTGACCGAAACCTTCTTGTCGTCTGGTAATAGAGAAAACCCAGTTCATGGTTGGGTAGAGGCCGGGAATATTGTGAAGGATCAACAGCCAAGGAAACACAAAACAAAAATTGCATCTAAACCAGCCTCTGATGTTGTGGATTCATTGAAAAGGGATTTGGGATCTGAACAATTTTCAAGGGCGGCCACTTCAAGCTCTTCAAAGGTCTCAGATTCTCGTAAAAGTAGGGTCCTCATACCTGAAGTGAAAGGCTCACCTGTAGAATCAGTTTCCTCATCTCCCATGCGGACTTCCAATTTAGACAAGCTTTCACCTGCAAGAAGGCACATCAATTCATTGGAGAGGCCATTTGGTGATAAGCCAAAGAGATCTAACCCTGAGGCTGTTGAGAAAGAACAATGTAACATTGAGAGCAATCGATATTGGGAAGCAAGGAGAGAAGTCTTTGGTGTCCCTCATTCAGAGCCTCTGGAATTTCCCGTGCTAGATTTTCAGGACAACAATAGTCAAAAGTTTGGTGGCAAATTTAAATCAAGGGTCAAATCTCCTTCTGAGTTTCAGAATGGCCATTTAGTTAGGAGTGATGCTAATAACGTGGAGAACCCATGTGCAGGTGATCTGCATGCTTCGGACCATTGCAACAATGAGAATAGATTGAACCAGAATCATTATCATGATAATCCAGAAAAACCCGGAAAGCGTTCCTCTCTGCTGTCCAAGGACAATGATAGAATTTCCATGAACAATTTTGAAAGGGTTAAGTCAAAGGTATCTGATCCACCTTGTGAGATGGATGCATTGAATCCAAAGCAGAGCCTGAGGGATGGGGTAGAGATTGGCTCATGCCATGTTGCACCACCGCCTGAAGAACCGAGTCATTTAAAATGCAGGATTAAACCCATCAAGGATGACAAGAGTGTTGGTACCAAGGGTTCTGGAAAATGGGAAAGTGACAATGGAAGAGAGAATCAATTGGAATTCGTGGAGCATAATAGTTCAGCTGTGAAATTTGGTGCCCATTCCCTCAAAGATAGCAGGGTAACTAAGATTACCCCACAGCAGAACCTGATTCAGGATTTTGAGGGTGAAGTACAGAAAAGTGATCCCACCCAAGTGGAATCAAGGGGAGGGAATTCACAAGCTTTCCTGTGTCATGCAGGTAAACAAGACCCACCAGCTCATGTTCCCCATTCAGCACCTAGATCGCTGAAAGGAAGTGCTTTTGATGTAATTCCAGTTGATTCTTCTGGTCATGGTGACTTATCAGAGGTGTTAAAACAACCAAAAAATGCTGTTAACCACCTGGGACATCCTGTGCCTAACCGGCGTGCGGTCAGGGATGCCTCCAGTCAGGTTGCTAGTAATGTTTTGAAAGAAGCTGAAGATCTCAGAGACAATGCTGATCGTTATAAGGTTCTTCTAGATTGCTTTTTAACTTGCCTATTTTTCTTTTTGATTGGAAGATTGATATGCAGGTTTTACCTTTCTTTTTTTTCTTACTGTTGGTATGATTTAATTTTCTTTTGTAGGGTTTTGGGTTTGGTTTTGAATGTAACTTGACATACTTCCTAGCTGCCTTGAAGTTTCTTCATGGTGCTTCCCTTCTTGAAACCTGCAACGGTGTTAGTAGTAAACATGGAGAGATGTCTCAAATGCAAATCTATAGTAATGCTGCCAAACTTTGCGAGTAAGTAGAGTTTTTGCCTCTGCCAAATTTAGGGAATGTAATTATTGTCAATATATCATCTCAGTCTTAAAGAGGACATCTTTCTTATTGGCTCAACTTGTATATTAATACTAAACTGCATAGTTTTGTGTGTAGCATTTTCTGAGCCAAAACTTACCTGAGCAGCTTTCCTGAATCTCTCTCTCTTTATTGTATTTTATTCTATTTAATATTTATTTATTTATTTATTTTCTTTTTTTGGAGGGGGGGGCGTCTCGCTGGGCTATGGAGACCTTGGGGTGTATTCTGTGAGAAACAATATCAAGCTATGTCTTGGGTGTACCTTTCTGTGAAGTTTTTGGCATAGCAAATATTTTTATTTTTTCAATAGCAGTCTGGAATATCTGATGTTGTATTTCAACAACTATGAAACATCTGTCAGTTTTTCTTCCCTTTCAGCTCTCAGGAAATATTCTTTGATTGATTGCTCTAGAATTTTGGCTTGATAAGCTGTGATATGTTGCTTTATTTTCACCCTTCGAACTAAATAGCTGTTGATATGTTTATACAATGTTAAAATACTGATCAAAATATTTGTTCATATTAGATTAATACTATCAATGTATCAGTGTATTGCCTATTGTACTTTTCAACAAATTAAAAATCAGTTACTTGATCTTTTTGCAATGAGTTCTTATGAATTGACACTTATTCCCAAGGAGCATGGGGCACGGGAAATCCCATGTGGACCAACCCTTGCAAGGCTGAATACTTGGGGATGAACAATGGTGACGTAGTATATATAGGTGTCGCAAAAAACCTCCATTGCGGTGTTGCTTAGTGACTTAGAGAGAGCTTTTGAAATTTCTGAGAAATGATATTTCAATGGGAGGTTTTTATCTAGTGACAAAACCTGATTTTTCTTGCTTGTGGTTTTCTATGCTTGTAATGGTCTTATCTCAAAAGTAATGGTTAAGATCTTGACCAATAAGGAGATAATGTGCTATCTCAATTTCTAGAACATTCCAAAAACACCAATTAATGGAACATGCAAAGCCAAACTTCATTTTTTAATGGATAGATTGAATGTCTCTTAGTGATTCTAGACATGGGTAATGTTTGACACATTGCAATGAAGTATTATGATTCAGATAAAATCGATGAAACGGAAGAGATCCAAATGAATGGAAAGGAAAAAACAAAGGATGAAACACTTCCACTTTAACGAGACATGCTATAAAAATAGCCCAATTTATGAATCTTCTTATTTGGATGGGATGGGAATCAAGAAAATTCGAAGTTAAAAATACTTGAAGATAAAAATATAGACATAGACCTCTTCTAGTTTGAAAAACCTTGTGTAACTCTTCTTTTCAATTATAATTGATGGAATCAACTATTACGGTATGTAAAAAATAATCGATTTGAAAATGTTGTAGGAAATGAAATGTCACAATATTTCTTTTATACATGCCGAAGTCACAGAAAAGAAAGAATATCTTTTATGTTTTGGAAAATGATACAAAGGAAAATGCCGTTTTCCATAACTGAAAAAACTGCTCTGATGAACTTTACAATCATTGGGTTTCAACCAGCAAACCAAAAAGTAATGTGAAAAAGTAGTAAATTTATTAAAAGATTGATACTTAAGATAAACACCAGAAAATATAAGAAGAGATTCGCCCCTGACATAGTTGATGCCTTCTCCTACAAATAAACTCATAGCACCAACTCCATCAAATAAAGGGGGTGAGTGGGAGTATTTAGTGTGGAAGTTGAGAGAGGAACATTGCTATATAAGGAAAGGGGAGATGGGATGGGAAAGTAGGCATTACAATAATTAATGTTTTACTTAGGATTTATATCTTTAGATTACTAACTTTAAGGTTTATTATAGAATAATGGGGTGAGAAATTTTTGGCAACTGTTGTTGGATAAGATTTTGATTATGGATCTAGATTGATGTCATTATATGGTAGATTTGGTCCTTCTTGATTTCTAGGGATTGGGCTGCTATTTGCCATCCTTAGTGATTGGTTTTCCTTGTTTTCTTTTAGTTTTTTGATGGTTGTTTTTATTTTGTTTTGTCCTTCTTCACTGTATGAGGACTTGTTGTCTACCTTTTCTATTACTTTACTTAATAAATTTCATTGTTGATTTTCAAAAAAAACAAAAAAATGGTAGATTTGGCATTTCTGATGGTTTATTTATGCATCAGCATACCACCTTTTATTTGTCTTTACCCTGAACTTGGTTAAACTGGCAGAATCTGTGCCCATGAATATGAGAAGCGCCGAGAAATGGCTTCCGCTGCATTGGCCTATAAATGCATGGAGGTAGCATACTTGAGGGTAGTTTGTTGCAAAAATGCCAGTACAAATAGAGATCGGCATGATTTGCAAGCAAGTTTACAAATGGCTCCTCAAGGTATGAATGAAGTTACAGAATGCTTAGATATACATAAACTTTTGTCTTCCTTTAAAGTGGCCTACTCGCTCTCTATTATGTTCATCTTCACTTTCTAACAATTGCCTGACACCATGCACAGGCCAGGGGGTGAATGGGTAGATTTGGTTATATATTTTTCCACTAGTAACCTTTAGTTGTTATTATCAGAGAATCATTGTGGTTTGAGATACAAACAGAACCGGCATCATTTCATCATGTTCTGTGCAATATCTGAAATAAGCCCATTTGTTTCCAGCAGCATTCGAAATGCATTAATTAACTTTGCAACTATGGGAAACAACTGGTTCCATATGATACCCCATTTTTTTTGGCCTAGTGATTGAATTTGAGTATAGTAGAAACTGTTAACTTTCTCTGCTTTTTGTGTAATATTGGGAGAAAAGACAATTTTATTTGATTGTTTTGATCATGCAAGTAGAAGATGCAATTGTGTCGTCGGTAACTTTTCTTTGAGGTCATACTAAGGTGTTAAATTTTATCTGCTATTACTAGTATGTTTCGTGCACTTGTAGCTGTGATTATTGTCTAGCCAAAAGGGGGAAAAAGAAAAAAAGAACTGGCCGAATCACTTGAGAATGCTGTATTAGAAATGCTTTTGATATTTTTTATTTTATCTGTTCATATATAGTCTGGTAATGTTAAGAACATCTGCATTATGGTACTACTTGGAGATGTCATTGGTAGGGGTTGGATGCCCTTTGTGGTGTATTCTTTGTTTGTATTCGCATTAGAAACAGTGGATCTGATGTGACATTGAAAAAGACATTCCATAGGCATATTAGTTGGCATACAAATTGCCCTTCATTAATGTTATTGTTTCCCATCTGGGTAACACAAACGTTATACCTTGCTGCCCCCTCTCCTTGATTGCTACATTGAGGATAAGTGTGCATAAAATGCATTTGTGCTTTATATGTTACCTTTAATGAACCACATAATGTTCTTATTGATTTTACACTTCGTGATCATTTGCTTAGGTGAATCTCCTTCATCTTCTGCATCAGATGTTGATAACTTGAACAATCAAGCAATGGTGGATAAGGCTGCTCTTTCTAAAAGCATCGGTGCTCATGCTGGAAACCATGCTATTGTTGCTCACAACCGTCCCAACTTTGTTCGACTGCTCGACTTCGTAAGTAGATTATTACACAATAATTGCCTCATTTATTTGCTCTCAAATGAAAACAGAGAAGCACTTATGGTCTGGCATAATTATATATAGTCATGTGTGTCATTCACTCTGAACTTATTATAGGTCTTTATGATGTTAGAAAAGTATACTTGATGAATGGAGGGAAATTTGAGGATATTGGCTTTTGTTCCTTACATCACTTGCATGCAAATGAATTGCACTCTGCAAAAAATGGCCTCAGTTATACCGTAATTACAAGCACCTACTACTGCCTCAGTCGATGATGTTTTTGAAATCTCAGTGAATTGTGATATGATCACAAAGAGGTCCTCAAATATAGATTTTTAGCTTCTAGGGTGTGATTTACGGCTTGTTTTTATATGTGTTTACAAGTGATACTTGTAATTAATATGATGGGTGATCAGACCATGAGATAATTTATTAACCTAAATTGGTTTTGTTGTGCACATTCTGTTCTTTGTAACCATGCTTCTTCATGGAATGTCACAAGAATGAACATTTCATCATTTAATTGTTTTTTGCAGACAAAGGATGTAAATTCTGCAATGGACGCCTCCAGGAAATCCCAGGATGCTTTTGCAGCTGCTAATGTAATTCTGGAAGAGGCTCAGAATAGGGAGGTCATTATTTCCATTAAGAGGGTCATTGATTTCAGTTTCCAAGATATAGAGGAACTAATATCTTTAGTGCGGCTTGCAATTGAGGCCATCAGTCGCCATGGTTTCACTGGCAATAAGGATTAAGTGAACCTTGTACATAGCTCGCTTCTCTGTTTTTATATTGCCAGTGATCAGGCATGAAGATAAGGGGAAAAAGATTGGGTGTTGCACTTGGAATCATTTGAAGAGACGGGACAATAACAGCTCATATCTTTGTGTACATGTGTACAAAATGAGATTGATTTGCAATTTTTGTAATTTAGTAGTGAATTTTCCAGGTTTTTTTTTTTTAAATTTTATTATGTGACGAGCATAACGTGCTCGCCCTTGCTTTGTATGGGGTAGGGGGAAGGGGCGCATATATACAGTTTAGTTGTTCGGCAAGAAGACTTGGAGGTGGTTATGTGAGAGTGCAGTTTGAAGTTTTTAGGCAATCCGTTGATTCAGAGCTGGAAAAAGATAATATTACAGAGATTGGGCACCTGTTTAGTCAACATATTTGAGGATGTTCGAGTTCTAATGTAGTTATTGCTGGTCCGTTCAAATGAAGGACTTCATGCATGCTTTGTTGCCCTCTATTTTTGTTCATTTTTTAATGGAATAGAAAAGTTGAGTTCATGGGGGAAGTTCCCTTTGTATATATTTCAAGTATTATAAACTGTTGCTGCCTAATTATTCTTTAAAGAAATTATATTTGTTAATTGTAAAAATTATTATATTGAATTAAAAAAATCATAAATCACAATAATAAAATTACCAGTAAGTTCTTTCTATTTAATAAATCATATATCAAATATCAATATTAATAAATAAGCTCTTTCTATTTTATATATTGTTATAAAAAATTTCAATTATTCATAAAAGTATATTTTATTTTTCTCATTAAAATATGAACAAAAATTTTCATAAATAATTTATTTTATATAAAATTTTATAGTAAAACTGTTTTTAATTGTTGAAATTAAATAAATTTTCATATATAAAAGTATAAATATAAGATTCATCAACTATTTCATGCATGGAGAAATATATAAATTTGTCATGGCATTATTTTTATAACCTTTTGAAATTTTAATAGAATTTATCCCTTTTAGATTGTTTATATTAAAAAAAAAATAAAAAATAAAAATCAAAACAAAAAATGCTGCATTTTATATTATAATTGTTTCGATCCATTTGTTATTTATGATTTTTTAATATAATAATAATAATTTTTACAATTAAAAATTTTAATTTTAATTAAGTTAAAATTATTTATAAAATTATTGTTCATATTAAAAGAAAAAAATAAAATTGAGATAAAATATACAGTTATGGAAGAATAAACTTTTTGAGAACTGACAAATAAGACTTAGTTATTCATATTGAAACTTAATAGGAATCAATAGTAATCTTGAGAGTAAAATAAGACTTATTGGTATTTTTTTCTTCTGTACCATCCTTAATGTCATTTTTATTTTTTTAGTTCGTCTTTATTTTTAACAGAGATTTAAAGCATATGCATCTATCACCAGATGTTTGAGAACTCAATATTTGAGGACATATAAAATTATAATTGTATTTTGTTTTTGGGTATGTCGGAGAACGTTGGTCTAGAGACAGACCTCTAATGGGTACAAGAGTTGTGATTGACTGCGCTAGCCCGAGATGGTTGCTCTTACAGTTGTTTGATGGCATAGAGTGCTTGCCTTACAACATGAAGATTTATGCTTAAATGGTATGGGTTTCAACTTACCTAAACTTAGAATTCCAACCCCAATTTTGGTGGACTTACAGAGAAAATTACAGGTTCAAGAATGTAAAGCCTGAATGAAAAAAGAGGAAGTGGTTCATTAATTTTTTCACGAGAAAAAGGAAAGGGAGATAGTGAGACGGTTAGGATTTTTATAGTTAGAGGGTTAAAATTTTTGTAGTTGACCCGATTGAGCTCTTCCAATTTTGAGTCAACCGTTAGGATTCTTCCAATTTCCTCCTTGTAGTTGGAATTCGAAGCAAAAATCTAAAATGACTGTTATGTTCCTGTAAAAAATTAAAAAAACAAACACATCATACGAAATGTTCAACAAGTAGACATGTCATATCTGTGTCAATTGTGTATCGATATCTGACACGTGTTATCTATCTATACTATTATTAAAAATGAACAACTCAATTGGTGTTTAAACTCTTAGTGACTTCTCCTTATATCACATGTACTCATTTTTCTATTTAAAATATAAAAATAAAAATAAAAATTAGATAATCGACAAGACTAAGACTCGAATCTTGAATCTTAAATTTGATAAATAAGACTCTTATTACTTACACAATATACCATACACAATTTTATTTTAATTGCACACGTATCGTATGCTAACCGCTAATGAATTGATATTTCTTTTTCTTTTTATTTATTTTTTTAATGACTCACTCAATGTACTCAATATCCACATTTTGATATGGTTGATGCATCAACTCAAATCCTTCTTCATCCTGTGATTGTATTTGTATATCCTGTCAAGCAGTAAACCAAGTCACTGACACTTGGAAAAACGATCAAATTCATAGGAAAAGTGAAACAGTGATAAGGCATGGTGTGCCATTATCCCTTTGTTTCAAAACCAAATCATAAGGATCACAACATTATAACAAATACCTGTGTATTTGTTAGATGATGTGTTGGCTGATCTTGGGCGATTGAGTAGGCTTGGGGTTGAGACATTCGATAATAAGGCTCTTTGAGATCAAATTTGCTGGATGATGTCTGGACTATTCCTCATTGTCCGGCACCAGCGCCCCAACTTTTAGCTATTTAAGTTCATTTACCACTAATTAGATCATTTAAAGAATCCTATTAACAAACAAATACAACTGAACTAGTTATATCATGAACACTAACTTGTCATCGTTAAGTTAATAGAATAACTCTGAGCATTGTGTGCAATCATGTGGAGTCGGCTTGTAATTTCTTGTCCTGGCATGACATAAAGTGGCTGAGAGAGGACGCAACGCAGCTGATACTAGTGGGTTGTAGGCGCACCAGGAGCTGTGCTCAGCCACCTTTGTACAGTACTGTAGAACAAGGAATTAACAATGGTTGTGAGAGAGAAAGAGAGAGAGAGAGAGAGAACATTATTAATCAAACATCAAATGATTACCTCCTATCGAACAATACATCAAACCAACACGCCAACCCATGAATTCTAGTACCCACAGGGGCTTCGAATTCCAATGGAACATCAATTTCATACAACTCCTCTTCCTACAGAATGAAAAATATTAGACAATCATCAAGCTTTATTTCATTCTTAAATCCAATTCAACATGGATATATTACAGCCTCTATGGATAGTTTCATAATCAGGTTGCATCATATTCCATCACAAAGTTTACAAAACAGAAAGTCATATATACCCTGCAAAGAAAGACAATGTGAGCGGCTATCAAATCCTTTTTGTACCCTTGTAGACCCTGTTTGTGATCTATAATTTCAGCAGTTCCATAGTTACAGAAACAATAATTCCATTCCACAAAACCTTTTTAACTTGACCTCTTTGAATCCAAGAATGGCCACCAGTCATGGACTATGAAAGAACAATTGTTGTGCTAATAAAGAAACAAGTAATTTTTTTATAAATGCTATAACAAATATTGTGGTTGGTAGGTGATAGTTCTTATTTAGAAAGCTAACTATATTGTAGACATCTCATTTTTGACTACCCTTACGATTTGGATGCCACCACTTGCACACCCAATGATGAATGTGTATATGCTTGTCAAGTGCTCGAAGTCCTCAACAGAATGCCGCATTTTTGAATCTTCAAACCCTATACACCTTTTGTCTTGTTTTGGATCACAACCATAGTTTTTCAAGCTTGAAAAACCTTGGGACCTGCCGGCTATGAAGCACGGACACGGACACGGATACGGACACGGACACGGATACGGACACGGTACACGGCAATTTTCAAAAAATGCATGCTTCATAGCCTGCCGGCCACCACTGTTGGCTGCAAGCCACTGATCTTGGCTGCCGGTCAGAATTAGTGTGTGTTTTGGCAGATATTTTTGCCAGCTGTGCCAGTTGTTGTCACAGATGCATGCACTTGTTTACGTGTATGTATTGATATTTTTGAGGGAGTTTGATGTTTGTCTATATATAGGAGACCTCCCCTTTCCATCTTTAAGGTTGGAAAATTTTGAAGCAAAATATTTTTTCTTTCTCTATAATTCTCTCTCTCTTTTGCAAATTTCTTGAGCTTTTACCTATACACTCTAAACCAAACCTTGTGGTCTTTGAGTTGAGGTACATTTGAGACTACTTTGAGCTCTTTAGGGTGTGTAAGTGTTGGTTTAACACTTGGAAAGTGTTCTCCTCTTCAAGAGGTATAAGTCTTGGCTTATTGCTTTGCTTTAATTGCTATTTTACCTATCGTTTTTGGTTTGTCTAAACTCTAAAATTTTGGGCTGAAACTTATGATTGAAGGCAAATAAGGGTGGAGGGGTGGCTCACCATTCCTTCTACCTAGCTTCCAAGGCCTTTATCCTTGTGTTTCCCACTTTGTTGTAACCTTTTTTTGAGCTTTTAAATACTGATTTTCAGAGCTTTTGCAGTGGCTAAAAACATGCTTTGAGGTCCAAAAATGGAGGGGGTAGCCTCCCCTCCTTATGCTTTGTTTACTAGCTTACATAGCTCCATGTTTTAACTTATTATTCTAGCTATTTTTGTCTTAATTTCAGTATGTTTTAGGACTGATTTGGCACTATTTTAGGACTGTTTTTGGTTGTTCATTGCATTTGAGCTTTGTATTGCATGTTTGTAGTGTAATAGTCCTCATAGGTTAGTGGTTTAGGCCTTAGCCACCAACCTATTTGAGTTGATAGCATTTGTTTATGGCTTTCCATACTTGTTTTCACTTCTAATCACCTTTGCAACCTCCCTCATTTCTTGGCTTTGGCTTTTGCTTTTGCTTTGCTTTGCTTTGAAAGTTGGTTCAAACTAGTTGCTTGTTTAAAGCATGAGATTGAGTTATTGTGCTTAATGGTTTAATCCCTTTAGGGGTTCGTTACCAATGGCATGACACTTCTCTCATGCCTAAAACAACACTTGGTTTGATGCTTCTTTCCATTAGAGAACTTAAAGCTCACATTTGGACTTAATTTATTAAAGAATGGTTGGTAATTAAAATGAAGTAATAAAATAAGGACTAAAAATGATGCAAGAAAATAACTTAGTTAGGGTTCAATAGGACGTTAATTGAACCCTTTGAGTCTTAAATCATTTCATACTTGTTAGTGATGAAAACGGTTCAAGAGTCATTGTCAATCACTTCCCTTGATCAATCCACGATAAGGAGGGGGTTTAGGAGTCTTTATTTGTTGCATTTATTAAAATTGTACCATTTGGTTAATAGGCCATCATGCAATTAAATTGCATTGATTGATGGTTTGTGAATTAAATTTACTACTCATTTGAGCTGTTTGATGATAAGGAGGGGTAAGTTGTACAAATAACCCTTGAAAATACCTTGGTTGTGCTCTATTTGCTCTCTGTTGCAGCAGGAGGAACCAGGATTTTATGGTCGGCAGGCCACTATTTCTGGACTGTAGGCCATCATTTGTGGCCGGTAGGCCACCACTTTTGGCCTGCCGGCCACTTTTGTCAAATTGAGAAGTGCCCTTTTGAAACAGAATAGAGTTAGCTTTGAGGTGAAAAACAGTGCAAGATGTTCTACTGTGCAACATAAACATTCTGACAGCAGAACAGTGGGCTTTTCGGGTGAAAATCCGTGTATGCATAAGCATTTCACTTACTTATCGAGGCTCTTTTGCTTATGGACTTATAATAGCTAGCTAACTAGTTAATTTGTGTTGTAATTAATTAGTTAGAAGTTGCTAGTTATTTAGTTTGTTGTTGTAATAATTAAGTTAGCATAGTTTAAATTTGTTTTGTAATAGTTAGTTAATTCGTAGTAAGTAGCTTAGTTAGTTAGTTTATTCGGACCCTCCTGCGTGAGGGCGTAAACTTATAATAACGTGTATGTCTTCTAACCCCATGTCTTTCTCCCTTTTATTTACTAGCTTATGTTGGTTAGTTTAGGGCATCATGTTTTGTTTAGCATCTCTCATGCCTTGCATCCACTTGTCTTGCATGCATCAAGGCTCGGTTCATCATTCTAACTTGTACTATTAGTTTAACACTTCTTTGAATACGTGCTTAAGACCGCATGCTATCAAATTGATTTATATGCCATATTAGTAGCCAACCCTAGTAATTGCATATCGTATGTGTTACATTAGTCACATTACATAATTAGGATCGTGCATTTTTCCGAACTCTTTCATCTTTTTGGCTTGGAGTACTAGGTGAACTTTTATTTTGCTTTAGCATAATTGCATGAGTGTGAGTGTTGCCATGTCTAGCATGCTTGCCATGAGACTAAGTGCTTATCTGATAAACTGATTGAATGCCTGTGGATGAAGGGTAATTGCTTGAATTGTAATAATTTGAGTAATGTACATATGTGATTACTTTTTCAAGTGGTACATATTCGAGACAATTTTCAAAAACAAACATGAGATCAAGTGTTTTAATTCTTGCAACTTAGTCTATACTTGTGTGCACATCCCATAGTAATGCTAGCCTAATAATCGGAACAAAAGCATATAATGTAAATAAGATTCACATTATGATTAGTAGATACCTATCTTTGATTGGGCAAGCGGGGGTGCTCAATTCACGACCTTCCCTCCTCGTACTTAAGTTCCCGAGCCAAGACAATCTTGGTGATGATAGACACGTGGTCTTTGGCACGAGTCATGGGTTTCCTAAATTTTTGAAAAATATTTAAGTAGTGACTCTGTATCTGGCAAAACAGTTCATTTTTGGCAATTTGATTCAAAATAGATTTTTAAAAAAATTTGACAGATTTAAACTCTTTGGTGTTTATCTATTTCACATTTCACTTGTGAGATTAGATTCAGAACCACGGGAGTCCAATATTGTGGGGCTTATTCGTCTTCCGAAAGAGGGCACGAAAAGTCGAGCTACATACCTTTATAGAAGTAAAGTTAATTACATGAGATATTGCTGGAGCCACCAATAGATTAGGATCAAAAGCATCCACCACTGGCTGTACAGAAAGTAAAGGAGAGAGAGAGAGAGAGATCATTAGAGGTCACCACGATAATAACAGAAAAACCTACATAATTATTGTCAATAAACATGACAAACAGAAGTGAATACATAGACACAATGTACTCGAAAGTTTCAAGAACCTTTGAACAATGCTTTACCATCAAGTTGATGGTGACCATGGAGTGCACACACACACACACACACACACACACACACATTGTACTTGAAAGCTTTAAGAACCTTTCAACAATGCTTTCCTGCCAACACATTTATAATACGAGTGTTCAAATTGACCTAATTCAATTCATATGTGGAAGTTGCAGGCAGTTTTTTTCTATCATTGACTGTATAAGGATTTACCACAATCTAATAATGTGATTGTTCACAATTTCTACTTTCAACTAGAATCCCTTAAAATTTTCTCCTAATTTTTCTTTCTACATAGACTACATCATCCACATCATGGTCTAACTCTTCTAATGAAGGACAAATAACAGATTCTTCCAAAATGACACACTTCAAGAAAGAAAGGCATGAGGGAATACATTTTGGTAGAGAGCATGAGGAAAAGGAAGAGAAAGAGTGGAGAGGCCAGTTTTCCACCCCAGGGCCCAAAATTCTTTCCATCCAAAAAAGGGCATAAAAGGGACAGGTAGGGACAGACTTCCATTTTTTAAAAGTTTGAAATGACTTTTGGTCCTTCACAAGTTGTAACTAATCAACTTCAAATAAAGTGAGGGTAAAACATTAAAATGACATAAATTCGTAAACCCATCTCTTTCATTCCTCTTTTCCTTTTCATCTTACCAAACAAATTGATGAAAACCAACGATCTCTTCCCTCCTATTTCCTTCCTACAAAACATAGCATTAGTGCAGAAACCACCATATCTACATGCAAAGAAAGACGAAGTGTATGAAATGTCAGAAAACCTCACATGAGCAAGCATACAATTGCATGGTTGAACTGGACTAATTTGACATTTTGGATGCAAAATGCTTTAGTCAAATCTTGCTCTCAAAATGACCTATGTTGAGGAGATCTTTTATTGAAGAGAAAAATGATAAAGGATAGGGGTCAAATCCTTGTGATGATCTACTAAAGTTTTCAACATCACAGTTTTAAAATTGAAATTGGAAGGGCATCACATTCTTATTTTTGATAAGTGAAACTAGAAGGGGATCATGCTTCAACCATTCATCATATATTTTTTCTGTTTATAACATCAAAGCGATGTGCGTAATAAGAAGAAAGGTTTTGTTGAGTTAACTTGAGCCATTTTCTAGCGACATATTTACAGTAGTGTAAGTAAACAAAAGAAAGAACACAATTTCATTCCTCCCATAAAAAAAATAAAAAAAATCATACCTCCTATCCATGCCAACTATAATGACAGTGTTCTGAGATCCAAATGCTGCAATGAATTCGGTGTATTTTGGAAAGTGAAACTGGGCAAATGACCATTCTGAGCTAAAATACTTTGGTAGCACCCCTGAAAAAGCACAGAAACAAGAGAGTTTGAGGCAACATCAAAACAATCCCTCAGATATGAATTATTTTGGAGACTCGTAGTACTGGAAAAATGAACAAAGTTTGGACAAAACCTATCAATCAATGGTGTAGTAACAAAATATACCGCTGGTTAAACAGTAGCTCAACTGGTAAAAATAAGGGCCAGAAGATGTTTACAAATTCAAAGTCTTTTTTTTTCTTTTTTTCTCTTTTTTTTTTAAGACAAATTAAAAAAAGTCTAGTTCTATTTAGGTGATTCTTGGCAATTTCATAGAAAAAGAAACAGTGATATGTCAAAATAATAAAAAATTGCAGTCACAATGGTCATAAATGGACCTTGTACAATGGCATGCCTTATTTCTTAAACCCTTAATGCAAACCATACAAACATAGAAATTTTTTGACAATCATTCCAAGCTTGAGGTCAGAAATAACTTCTTGATAAACCTCTCTTACCTTTCATAAAAGACAATGATGAACCAGGATTAGCACTGGTACTTGGAGAAATAAGAGCATCAAGGGAAGATGATGAATTGTGGGAAACCATTGCTGGACTTTGAACAGCACTCGAACAAGTAGATGAGTCCTCTCCCATAACCCGAACTCTGAGGCTGAATTAATGCATAGGACCCTTGTCACTTGACACAGCCAACCACTAGACATTAGGAGAGAGAGCAATACTAAAAATATCTGATTTTTACACTCCTCTGCGTACTTATTCAAAGGAAACAACATTTAGGTAATAGGGAAAAATTGCAAATGCAAATGCAAATGCAAAAGCAATAAAAAAAAAAGAAGGGAGAAACCTAATGGAGACAAACTGAGTACGCCAGCAACTTATAGGCAAAGAGAAATGGGATGAGGTTATGGTAGGTCTAATGTTCAAATCTAGCCCAGAGGCTAAGAAATTAATAAATAGATCACTTAGAAACATGAATTACTATCGCACACAAGACAACAATATGTGGATCCACTTACACCAGAATGTGGTACGAATTGAGCAGGATTATAAGCTTTTGCATATTTCTCAATTAAGTTAGGGAGTGATAAAGTAACTTTAAGCAAGACCAGATTTTCATTTAATGGTTCGAAAATGATATATGCAACATTTATTTTTAGCATGCACATGATTTCTACTCCTATCGCTACATAGTGACTGACCTCTTACAAAAGGCCCATACTTCTAGGAGACACTGTGCACTCTCAATCTCTCATATAGTGAGTCTTAATCTCTTAATTCATCTTGATGTAGGTCTTGTTCAATATGCATAAAGACATAACACAATTTCTTGATCTTCACATAAAGACTAATCTTACCTTTGAAGAAGCAAAGAGAATATAAGCTAATTTTAATTAAGTTGGTGGTCTCCAACAATGATGCTAAAAAGGCTTGGCACTAAAATGGAAAGAAGGAATTTCCATTATCTATTGAACATTGGAAGAGTGGAAATTCAACTAGTACTACAAATACAATGTCTTCCAAATGTCCCTAAAAGCCTCAACAATAACCCCGTAATGATGATGCGAATTCAATGAGAAAAAACACTTCAACAGCTGCTCCAATTCTCTTGCCTCAAACAATTGCTTTGCTAATATCATCTCCATCATCGATCTCTTGAAATCGTCATATGGGTCCACCGATTCCTTCACCACCGTGAAATTGTCCTTCACTTTCCCCTTTGCTGCAAACAACAGTATCAGCTTCTTCTGATAACCTCACTGGCGACTCAATCTCTGGCGACCACACCTTCCCTTCTTTCGAAACGTTGCATTTTGCTCCCTTCATTATTTTCTTGTGATTTCCTGAAAACGAAGCTAGCATTACGATCTCTTCTTCTTCATTGTCTCTCTCATAGTCAAACAACCTACTGTCAACCAAGGAAGTGCTGATAGGGTGTCGGGTCATCGCTTTCTTTTTTTTGCTCCGTCATTTCTTTTTCGCTAGCGGAGCAGGAGGAGGAGGGAAGAGGTCGTTGTCGGAATCGCCGAAGATGAAAGAGTTGTAGATTTCGCGACACGGTGTCTCGTCCCACTTGAATTCCAGTGATTCGGTGAGGTCGTCTTTAGAGCTGTACCGTTACGTCCCAAATTTCTAGCCCAAATGATAAGACAATAATCATGGCTCTTTCAAGAAAAACAGAATATAAATCTCCAAACTTGCATTACAGGATATAATAGTTCTTCATGCAACAATACATTAATCCAACAACAAGTAAATAAACAAATAAATACCCCCCTAAGGGTTTACAAGTTTCCAAGGCTTGAGCCTGGTTACACAAAACGGTTATTCAAACCCACACAAACATAGCCCTTGGCTTACACACAGAGTCATAGCGAAATGAGAGCATTGTACTCCCAACACACATACTTCCACGCCCCTAGTTGGGTGGGATCACCACATCTTTTCTTGCACAAAAATCTCGTAGGGTGAGCATAAAGCCCAGTATGAAATTCTTAACAAAGTATATACATTTTATACAAGTCTCAAGAGATGAAATGCACATGCCATGCTATGCTATTTTTGAAGATAAATCACATTTTCATCTTTTGAAAACCATCATGCTCAATGATATCATATAATTTCAATTGTTCAAAACTTAACAATTTATTTCAAAGGCGGTAAATACGACTTTGGTAATCCCTAGGTCGGTGTCTGCAAGTAGACTATACAAGTACTACCAAATTGTCATTTTTACCAGTATTAACCGGAAGGCTCGACACCTATCCGCGCGGGTTTTTGGTCTTTCACCCTGGACTCTCAGGCCAACTTATTCAATATCATCTACACCACCTATCAAGACTTACCAACGTATTTACCCCAAAACATTCCATAAAAACTTATTTCTCAACATTCTTTTCTCAATGCAAGTTTTCAAATCAACTTTCAAAATTTAATATAATCAAATGAATTGATACGCCAATTTCACAAGATGAATATAAATACTTTTATTCCAATTTATCATCCAAGGAATAACACAATTCCCTCTTCTCAAGTATCCTCGACAATTAGTTATTTCAAGACTATTTCAACGTTTTGAACAATAATTTTCAAAATGAACAACAATTCTCATATTTCCTGAAATTCATCCTTTATATAAATATAAATAAGAAAATTTTCAAACATCCATTTATTTTGACACACAAAATAATTATAACAATATTATTCATAGATTTTCAGTCTCCTTTTAAAAAAAATTCTCCAAATTCTAGGTTTTCTTATCAAAACTATACAACTCAAATTTTTTGAAAGAAAACTTTTCAAAATCATCTTTTCTTCAATCAATGAAGATTAAAACCCATAAGATCATTTTAAAAGAACCAGAGACAAACCCATTTTCAAAATCGCTCAACTTCTTGAATTCAAAATCAATTTTCAAAGCTATCGAAAGATGATTTTGAAAATCATATAGATCTTGCAAAAATATATATATAACTCTAAGAAAATCCCTACCTCAAGTTTTGAAGAAGAAATGAGATGAAACCTCCAAAATCAACGATGTCAAAACTCGATCTTCACTGCACATAATGAAGCCCTCAAGAAGTTAACCAACTTTGATGAAGAACTTATGGCAGAACTCTAATCGATTTTGAAAAATCAAGGTTTTGATCCAATTTGGAAGAAACGGAGAGGAAAGGGTTTTTAGAGAGAGAGATATATACAAAAGTGATCTGAAATATGAGATTCACGAACTGATATAACATGGTTCGCTCGAGCATGGAAAGCCCTGCTCGAGCGTCAAATATACTTTTCCAGTACTTTTGCAGACAGGTCAAACTTCTGGAACCAAACATTCTCCGCTCGAGCACATAAACGATTGCTCGAGTGGACAAGTAACTTCTAATGCATTTTGCATTTTTGCTTCGGGGGCGTTGCCCCTCATCCCCGCTAGGGCGTTGCCCTAGGACTCGTCAAGGGGCGCTGCCCCTTAGACCCCCGCGAGCTGACCGGGCAGCTCGATCCCCGCTAGGGCGCTGCCCTTGGACCCGCCAAGGGGCGTTGCCTCTTGGACCCTCGCGATCTGACCGGGCAGCTCAATCCCTGACATACTCAGTGAAGTGGCAAAACTGGGATCGCTACATGTACTGTGTACGGAACCCACAGCCGACGGATGAGAAAATAGAAGACAAGTGGTGCTTGAAGGAGGAGCGGTGGGGTTTGAAAGTCGACGGGCAGTTAATGAAGATGGGTGTAGCTCAACTTTTCATGCTTCTTTCGGATACAACTAGCCTTATAGTTCGGACTCTTGTGGTTCTGAATCTGATCTCACAAGTGCAATGTGAAATAGATAAACACAAAAGAGTCTAAATTCGACAAATATTTTGAAAAATTGATTTTGAATCAAAATGTAAAAAATGGACTGCTTTGCCAGATACAGAGTCACTACCTAAATATTTTTGAGAAATTTAGGAAACCCATGACTCGTGCCAAAGGCCACGTGTCCATCATCACCAAGATCGTCTCGGCTCGAGAACTTAAGTACGAGAAGGGAAGATCATGAATTGAGCACCCTACTCGCTTTATCAAAGATCGACCTCTACTAATCATGACGTGAGTCTTATTTACATTACTATGTGATGCGCACACAAGTATAGACTAATTTACAAAAATTGAAACACTTTGATTCATCTTTGTTTTAAAATTGTTTCGAATATGTATCACTTGAAAAAATGATCTCATATGTACATTACTCAAATTGTTCCAATTCAAAGAACTAGCTTTCATCAACCGACATTTAAGTAGTTATATCAATTAAGCACTTAGTATCACAACCCAAACCCACCCTTATAGGTTTAGCATCGTAACCGGCCAGTAATCCTTAGATTACCAAAGGCCTCATAACATAATAAGGTATAATTAGGGGCTGCGAAAGTAATTACATAAAATATATATAGTCCATCGAGCTGTGAAGACATACGTGGGATAGATAATGTCATGACCCGCTCCCCGTACCCAAGGGTTAAGCATCGTGATGGCCAGTAACTAAGGTTACCTCCGGCCAATTCTTAAACAAATCAATAAACGCGAGCGGAAGTAATATTTAAATGAGGGTACCAAAATAATCATCGGAGCTTCTATTTTTATTACAAAATTCATTGACCGAAAAGGCCGATATTTACATATAAAAATATCATAAAAGTGTTATGTGTGTTTATCCCGCAGTCCCGCATCTAAGACTTTCCAAAAGCTATTTCTGAATTGCATTTGTTTCTTGAAAATTGGTAAACAACTATAAGCACATGACAGAGTGAGAAATATTATACTAAGAGTATAACGGACACGAAATAACCATGGATTAGTTAGGCCAAAACATTTACATAACTCAGTTTGGTAAGTAAATCATTGGTAAACAAATCATTTAAGTGGTAGAAACTGCTCATTTAAGTAGCAGAATTGAAATACAGATATTATGTAAATATATAACCATAACCATGGTACAGAACAGAGGTCACAGAAGTGACAGTCAGAACAGAGGTACGGATTCAAGAGGTGGCTCGTACGGATTCTAGAAATGGCTCCCACAATAGTGTAGCACTTAGCTCCACACAACACTTTGGTCCGCACAAAACAGAGGTCAATGGATCCATGACAAACAGAGGACTACAAAGTGGTCAAACAGAGGCCAATGGTTATTTAAGTCCCCCAAGGCGTGGGACTCCCGTGGTGGTACTTACAAAACATAATTGTTGACAAGGTTATAGTCAAATATTCTTAAA